GCAACATCCCTACGCAAGGCCAAAGAATCGAGGCTATCGGACAGGATTTGGTCGTCGACGATTCGAGCAGCTCTTCGTTGAATGCGGTCAAAAAGAAGGAGCTGGTATTTCGGTGCCCCAGCCCAGAGGTGAGAACAGTATTCCATGTGAGGCCGAATCAATGCTTTATAAAGCTGCAACCGATGTGTCGGCAGGAAATACTGTCTCGCTCGGTTTAGGACACCGAGTTTTTTAGAAGCCAGCTTGGCTTTTCCTTCCAAGTGACCGCGAAATTGAACGCTGCTCGATATATCGACCCCAAGAATTCCGATCGAATCGGTGGCAACAAGGGGAGTGCCTTCAAAAAAGGGAGATACGACGTAGGGTTTTCTCTTCGCGGTAAACGCGCAAACCTGTGTCTTCATGGGGTTAAATTGGACTAAATTAAGTCTGCCCCAAGCCGAGATTTTGCATAACATAACCTCGACTTCAGACACAAGTTTATTCCGGCACTCTTCGACGTACTCCTGAGAAATATTTGCCCGGCCGGTATATAGTGCGTCACCCGTAGTGTCATCCCCATAGCAATGAATGTTGCAAATATGCAACAGATCATTGATATGTAGGAGGAACAACGTAGGGGACAGGACGCAGCCTTGTGGGACACCAGAGTTCACGAATTTAGCGTCGGAGCAAGCACCGTCAATAACGACCTTGATGCTCCGATGAGTGAGAAAACTAGTGATCCAGTTGCACAATTTCTCAGGAAGCCCGTAAGATGTAATCTTAGAAAGAAGTGCTTTGTGCCAAACCCGATCGAAGGCTTTCGCTACATCCAAACTAACCGCCAAGGCCTCACCCTTTGTCTCAACTGCCTCCGCCCATCGATGCGTTAGGTACACTAAAAGGTCACCAGCTGAGCGCCCGCGTCGAAAGCCATATTGACGATCGCTAATGAGCTGGTGCTCCTCAAGGTACCTAAGGAGCTGGCAGTTTATGATGGACTCCATGATCTGTCATGAAGTCCATGACAGTCTCTGACATGATCATGTCAGATCAGAATCATGATCATGTCAGAAAGTGATTTAAGAGTTTCAGAGAACACGATTTGAGAAAAAAGGCCAAACAAGCATTAAAAGAGGATGTTCATACTAATGTTTATTGTATTTTTTGATCTTATTAGTTTTTTTATTTTAATTCATTTTAAAAACCTGACCTTACTTTAGGATAACATACCCTGTGTCGTAAGGACTTTTTATAAACATAATTCCACGTGGACAAACATCCAGAAGCGAAATAACTATCTGTGGGTCTAACAAATTGTTCGCCCGTGTGGGAATCGAACACACGACCTCTGAAGCCTTTGCCTTTTCTTTCATCTTTTTCAGGGATTTATTAACGTTTTGATATGTCTTTGGAAGCTTTCGGTAATTACTGTAAGTGAAAAACAATAATTTAAAACAATTCAAGGTAAAAATAAATCTTAATAGTGTTAGTCTCAAATCTGAAATTGTTCATTTAAAGAAAGAAATATTATTTCATTCCATTCTTTCTTTCTTTTTGAAAAACATTGCAAAACATGATCCTGTGTTGTGACGACGTTTTACAAAGAAATTTCGCGGAAACCCAGATGTTATATGTAAACTATCTGTGGGTCGCACAAATAGTCGTCTCGTGTGGGGATCGAGTTCACGAACCCCGACGCTGAAGGCAATACCTTGGCAACTGCGCCAAGGAGTCTTAGCATCGGATATTATCAAAAACATCCAATTTGTAAATTTAAGGCAACTAAGCAGGCCATTTAAAGCATAAGTCAAGCGGGTGCCATGTAAAAATTATTTACAGCAATCAATTTCAATTCACAACATCTCTCAAATTTAATGAACAGGCCGTAGTATTTCTTTTTACACCATAGACTTGTGGTCCATAAATTGTTTACGTTGGGAAAGAGAAAAAAAAATGCATAGTGTTCAATCTAAACACTTTAATAAGTATATCTTTTTCTTTACCAAACTAAATAATAACAAACACCAATAATTGTTAGAGATTATGTTTACCTTTAAGCTACGTACACAAATACTGTATTTTGTTGTGGCACTCAGGAAGGATAGACATTAGGAACTAAAAATGCACTTGATTTTCACATTTTTTGACAATATACATGGCAAGTCAACATAAGAAGTAAACTTGAAATGAATATTTGGTTATTATTCAGTAACTTTTCTTATCTTAATTTAATTTAATCTTAATCTTATTCATCCAAAATCCTAATATTAGGTATACCTAAACTGACCATACGTCCGTTTTGAACGGGACTGTCCCTTTTCTCGAGCAGTTGTCCCTTTGTCCCTGAACAAATCTTGGGGACACAAAATTGTCCCGTTTTCCGAAACCGCGTGAAATTTTAAAACCACGCTCGTCAGACATGATCATGAGCATATATTGCCCGCATGATTTTCTTTTGAATTTGTTGATCAATCTTGTCATTTGTTTCTTTCAATAGGCTAGCCACGCGCATGTATTCTGACTTCTTTATGTTTTTGTGTAATGTGCGTTAAATAGTTTTGTAGACAATTTGAAGATTTGTAGTTTTGAAAAATTTCTTATAGTTATGCCGAAACCCAAGTGTTCATTTAATGCCAACCTACGAATAAAATATTAAGCAAATTCACACTTCTTCGGATGTCGATGGTAAGTGATAAGGTTGGTAAGTTGGATAAGGATGAAGTGTCGCACAGTAAGTGTTTCCCATAGTGGTGCTGGTGATATTGAACAGCTCAAACTCTGAAGGCAACGCTAATAACAAAGGTAACATACAACGTAAAAGAAACGTGCCAAATTTTATTATTATTTAAAATCATCTCCTTTATTAAAACAGATTTGTTCCGCTGAGAAATATAAATATATGTAAAATCATACCAATGTTGTTTTAATTTTTAACCGAATGGCGTATTGGGTAGTGTACCTGCCACCTGCGCCAGAAAGTGTGGGTTCGATCCCCACTACTGGAAAAATATTGTGTGATGAACAGTGTTTTTCTAGTGCCTGGGTGATTATATATATATATATATATATATATATATATATAAACACCCAGGCACAATACATACAGACACAAAGACACAATACATACATAAAAATATGTAAATAAATTATAGCCTGTCCTACTCTGATGTATAAGCTATATTCTTGTAAAGTTTCATTAGAATCCATTCAGTAGTATTTGCGTGAAAGAGTAATAAACATCCATCCATACATACATACAAACTTTCGCCTTTATAATATTAGTAAGGATATGTACTTATTTACAAAAGAAAAGTATATTTAAGTATGTTTATCAGTGTTCGTATGTTTAGTAGTTAGTGGGACTAGAGAAGTTGTGTAAAAATGTATCCTAAAAAGAATAGTGAACTTATGATTTTTTCTTTGTATCTATTAATTTTTAATCTTTTCGGAATAAAGAAAATTAAAAAGTTATGTTTATTTTCATTGTGAGCCCTTTTCCCGTTTTGAGTTAGTAAACCATGGTCAGTTTAAATATATCTACTATTCGGCATACTTAGGTAAGATTTTTGTTGTAAACAAATAATTGGTAAAATTAAAATAATGTATTTTACTAGTAATCATTTTTGGAGTCTTAGGTTACAATATTAATCAATATCCGCATTATAAAAATGAACGAATATCTATCAAATGACAGTAATTTAACTTTAGAGGAAAATTTTTAATGAAAAAGTTTTTCTGCATTTTATGCAGTAGGTTACTCTTATTCTTCCTACACGGTACTTTTCGGATTAGGTATCGTGTATATCGATCGTTTTCGAAGTATGTACACAAACGAGTGGGAAACAATAACACCGATACTCACATGGGCCATGCGGTCAGAATGCCTGAGAATATTCGGACCTTCGTTAAATAGTATATTCGGCCATACACCGTATATAATGACAAACTTAACAACAAATGTTAGGTTGATAAAAAGCAGTGTAATTAAACACTTTTTACAGGAAATAATACTAGAAATTTTGGCACCAAATCTTTTACATGTTGTTTAATAATTGTTAATTTTTCTAAGTAACTAAAACTGAAATATTAGATTCCAAAACAAGATTTGGCCCCCATGTTGTGGTAATATATACATGTTTTAAAAGAAAAGACCAATTTAGGTCAACCATAGTCAAAAAGATTCCAAAATATTTTTTGTACTTAATATAAAACTCTATTGTTCTAAATTTCATTAGTACAAAAATATTTTTAACAGTTTATCTTATAAACTTATATTTCATATTAGTATGTAATACATTCCAATCAAAATATTAGTTATTTTGTACATAAAATTAATGTCTGTTATATAGCAGTTATTATGCACAAATATAATGAAATGAATAAGTAATGACTAGCACCCCCGGTAATTAATTGTTAACCTTTCCTTGTGTTATTGATTTTACATTAAACATAATTCAGTGGCAAGGACTATGGGACAGAATAGTTACATAATTGTGTTTTTCTACAACTTAATAACATATTTTAAAACTTTGCTGATATTTCTTAATGATTTTTTTACTTTTACTTATATTTGTAGATATATATACACATACACTAATATAATAGTCACCATTTACTATTAAGCAATTAAAATATTGATTAACAAAAAGTTATTAATTCTCAAAATACCATCTATACACAATCACAACCATCCAAAAATCTTAAAAATCTTTCTATTTGTTTATTTTTAGTTAAAAAAAATAATTAAAGTACTATAAACTTGTATGTTTAACTGGTTAACATTACATTTTTAAGTTTTAAGGACTAATTCAAAAAGATAACTATCCAGACATTATATATTATGCTGCTTATTATAGTAAATCTCTAAGGACATTAATGATTTTTCATAAAGTAGTTAAAAATGTTCACTCCACTTTTAACAAGATGTACTGAAAATATTATATAAAGATCAAATAAGTGAATTTGTAAATAAACATTTACTTTCATTTAATTTTAATCAAACCCTATTTTATTTAATCTGAAACATGTGCAGAGGATAACTTATTCTGTAAAAAATTTATGATTAGGACTGTGATGTTGTCTACAGAACCCCTGTAATATGCTTGAAGTGTCAAACTTTTGGCACCAAAGTCTGGCTCATCTATCCTTTCCTTTATAAACTTTACTGCTTCTTCATTAGAGAATGTGTCCCATAACCCATCAGATGCAAGAACTAAAAACATCGGTTTATGATCATCTAGATTAAAAGTGAGGATATCTGGATCTGCTATAACAAAATTTTTATCCTTAAGAGGATAGTCGCCCATAGCACGAGATGTGGCCAGGATACCGGCTACTCTCCAAACACCATTGAAAGCAATATATCCTCCTGCTGCCTCAATTCGTTTCTGTTCCCTTACCTATAAATATGTGAAAAATTATACAAGTACACATATCATTTTATAAAAAAATGTAAGGTGAACATAACAAAAAAAAAAACAGATTCATATAATACAGATCGGATAACAGTAACAAAACAAATATATTTTTTTTAATATGATAATGAATACTTATGACTTACTTGTTGAGGTTTATGATCGAATGAGACAGGAATAGCATTTCCACGAGAGTCACACATTACTCCTCTGGAATCACCTACATTCGCAACAATGAGGTGTTTCCCTTCTAAAACAGCTATCAATGCAGTAGTGCCAGCAACATTTAATGTCCTTTTGGCTGCTTCTACCAGAAGCCTGTCAGCAGCAAGAACTTCATCCGTTAAAAGTTTACCAAAGTTTATTTTTCCATTGTCTAAATAACTTGATAAAGGTATATTCAAATTCTTAACGGGCTTAGTGGTTGTTCTCACTTCTCTAGTTATAGGCCTCGCTTTTGATAATTGGGCCAATAGTTCAGGATCTGTTATTTCTTTTTTAGATGTATCATCCGCAGCACTGATTGACTTTTTAAAACTAGTTTTTCTTTCAACACTGGTATTGCTATCTTGATCTTTCTTTTGTGTTTCTGAGCTATCCTGTGGAGATGGATTGATTATCTTTCCATCTTTAAATGCATTCAGTTCAACTACTTTGTTATAGAGATTTTGAATAAGGTGATCCTTTGCATAATTAGCAGCAAATTCGCCGCCATGACCGTCGAATATAGCAAAGAGTGAAATGCCCGTGTTATTAATGTTTTCGTTAATAATGAACTTATCCTCCATGTGCATTCGGCGGCCTTTGATTGCGTAAGCTGCGCTTAGTGACCCCTTCAATTCCCAGCTTTGTTTATCTGAATCTGAACCTTCCATAAGCTTCATGCGTTGAACAGCACTCAGGGGGCTCATAGCTTGGGACAATCTGCTGAGTAATGTCCGACTCCATAATTCAATTGTTTGAAGATACATGAAGAATATAATAATACCTAAAGTGAACACGAGAATCTCTGATCGTAGTAAATACAGACGTACCATTTTCCATAAATAGCTCAAAGGAGTATCAAGCGCAACACTGCTTGTAAAACGCGACAAAATTTTCATAAACGACAAATAAGTTTGGTGCAAAACTTTATCCTCTAATTCGTCTTCCATGACCTCGATAAAACTTAAAAAAGTCCACTTATTTAAACTGTTAATTTTTATAAAACTCTCAGTTAAAACTTGAACTAGTCGTATTTGTACAATGATGTTGTATATACCACAGATGAGGTAGATTATATTCGTTCGTGCGTGTTACAAATCTCATCAATCAAATTTACAGGTACATATTTTATCTGCGTTATTCATGAAAAGGGTTTTCATTACCTATCAGATAACAATTATAACAATTTAATGTTTATATCTAATTGTATTATTTATTCTATTAAATATTATTTTCCGCTAATAACTTCCGTGAATCTTGTGTCTCTTAAACTCTTAAATGACTAACACCCGGTTTCGTAGTAATTTGAAAAGCCAATCTGCGACTATAAAAAACCAATCAAAAATTTTGAAAACAGTGGGGTGTTCCTTTGGTGCGGAGGAGGAATCCATTTGGCGGCAGCGATTTGTCAACTACACCAATGACCTTGTGGTGTCAGTGTAGACAAATTTGGTCAAAAAAGTGCTGGCCGCTTTTTCCGCTACGGTTCCCTAAACGACATCATCCGTAGGGCTCAGGGCAGCGCTTGTTTCTATCAAAGTTCCATCTATTTTACAGGCCTGTAGCATATTTCACGACGATGGTAAATCACCCGACGGTTAATCACGTAGTCGTGGTCAAGTGATAAGAAGTTATAATTTAATTTTTATAATCATAGATACAAGTAAAAAGTAGGTACTTATTTTTAACCGAATTCAAAAAGAAGGAGGTTATCAATTCGGATGTTTATATTTTTTTATGTAGGTATGTTCGGGCATACCTTCGTCAGATATAGACGGATTTACAAAATTCTTTTTGTGCGTAACATTTCGTTGCTTTTTATTATCATATACAGCTTGTCGTTACCATAGCGACAATAAATGAACACACGTCTAACGCTACTTGCCAATAATCATAAAAAAATATTAACGTTAAACGAAATACATAATTAAAACAAAATATTTTTCAAACAAACTAATTAAGTAAAAAAGAAACAAAATTTGTAACATCCTATGCAACTCAAACCACAGCGTCGCATTACAAGCCTCTCCTTGTAACAGTATGTTTTGTCTCTTTTAAATTCATTCAACCCATTCATATGCTTTGTGAACTTTACAAATTAATTTTACGTTATAGTTTTATACGTAGGTAAGGGTGTTCTAAAATTGTTTGATTTGGAAAATTTAATAACTCGGTAAATATTGATGTTTAAAGAATGTAAATGTTTAATACAATTTTAAAAAGTTGTCCTCTATATGTGTGTTCATTTATTGTCGCGGTGGTAACGACACGCTGTATTTTACAAGGTGGCTTTTATAAAGGTGCCCAAATTCACACAGGAGGTTCAATTTCAACTTTTTTTTTTAAAAAACTTGGCATTCTATTCCCTAAAAACAAACTTGTTGACAATGAGTTAGTCATTCATAAATTCGTCGTATACTTTTGATCGTGCGTAAAATAATGAGTTGCCCATAAATCACGCACTTTCTGGGACTATCGGGACCCGGCTTAATAATAATATATAATCAACCCAAATGAAAACTCCTAAAATAGCCGTACAAAAAATAAAATTACATCGTCCACATTAAAAAAATGTTCATAAATAACAAAAAAATATTTATTCATTCATTCATTCATAATATTCAGCGCTTCTAATCCATCTAATCAAAGACAGAATCCACATTCACAAAAAACTTTATTTCCCAAAGATGGTCCCTCATACTCACGTCCACTAAACCACCACATCTCACCACCCATCAAAAACCCACCCATTAAGACAAATCAAACTCGAGGCAGTTGTGTTCCTTAATTACTGAGTTCCTATGGCCACATTCCAGCTCTGTCATCAGACCATCTAGTACCAAAGAGCTCGTCATGGCGAATCAAACGAGCCGAGACACAATAGGGTTGCCTCGTTTCTTTACTGAGTTCATATGACTGTCTTCCAGCTCTATCATCAGATAATGGTAACCATCTAAAAATTAAGTACTCGCCAAGACGAATCAAACGAGCCGAAACTCGATGGGGTTGAGTTGTTTCATTACAGAGTAGTCATAGGAACCTCACAGAAAAGCCTCATAGACCTCACAGAAGATCGGCGTAAAGTACTGTTGCGATTTGTCTGGTGAGTGAGGTAGCTGAAGCCCACTTTATTATAAGGAGAAAACGCATCAGCAACCTTATGCATATGTCCATGGACGGCTGAAGATGGAGCTCCATCATCAGATCCTGGTTACCAATGAAAGACAAACAACTCGTCAATACTATTCAAATTTACCTAAACGCGATGAGGCTCTGTGGTTTGATTCGAAGTTCCTATGGCCTTCCTTCCAGCTCCATCATCAGACCAGCACCATGTCATAAAAATATTGCATTGTCTCGCGATACACACATGTATACAAAATTTCAGCTCAACCGGTAACCGGGAAATAGATCAAATTTAATTTGCAAGAATTGATTTGATGATTTAAAATTCAAATATTGTACAAATATTCATAAAATGAAAACTACTTGGCCAAACTATGGTAAATTTTATGGGACCAAATGGCAATTATTCTGCATCAAACTAAAGAAGAATCACGTAAATCGAATCATAAATCTCAACGAATCATACAAATCTACCAACGTGAGAAACTCCTCGGCGGTAAAATATTATACAGGTACTTACATAAAATCTTTATTGTGGCAAAGAATATATTAAAACATTATGTTTAACAATTTTAGTTAGTGGTCCACCTAGGTCGTAGAATCAGCCCAGGGGGGGGGGTCATGACCCCCCCCCCCCCCCCCCTGGATCCGCCCTTGCACTAGGATTAGGTTTATTAAATAATATGTAATTTTAAATGTAAATATTAGATCAATAAACTATGATATTGATAACGATATAATAAAATAACTTAGAATTTTTAATTAAACAGATAACTACGATGATGAGTGTTTCAGAAACCGGACGTTATTTTTGTTCGTTAATTGTTTTTGTAACTCAATTATTTTAGTGATATAATTTTTTGTAACAGATCGTTCATTGTTAAAACTCGTTTTCGCGATTTGGATTGAACGAGTTCAGCTTATTAACATGCGTTGCAGTTTGGCATCCATAGTTATGCCAAAGAATACAATCGATGGCATAGGGTCATGCGCTTCCCTATATAAAAGTAAATAACTGTGGTAGGTGGGTAATAAATGGGCAAGCTCGTCCGGGTAAGTATCACGACCTCACAGAAGACCAGCGTACAGTAGAAGTATCATACTTTCGCGTTTCGTTTGGTGCGTGAGGTAGCCGTAGCCCAATTTTCAAAAGGTTGTTAACGCATCTGCAACCCTCGGGTGTAGCAGATGTCCATGGGCTTCGGTATTCACTTAACATCAGGTGAACCGTCTGCTCGTTTGGCAACTTTTCACATAAACAAAAAAAAAATCTTCGACAGCTTTTCTGGTGATGAACTTTTACCGCGTTCTTAATTTTTGGGAATAGAAAAAAGTGACAAGGTCACCAGCCAGGTCCGGACTGTATGCAGGATGACTCATAAGTTCTACGTTTTTCATCTTAAAAAATTCGTTTGTCTGTCGGGCCATGTGGGAACTAGCATTGTCGTACTACTTGTAGGATGGTACGGCGTCTACGGTTATTTTTACGCAGTTCGTCAATAACTTCGGCAATCAAAAGGTCTTGTAGTTACGCGTAATTTACGGTACGAAGATTCTCTAAAGCAACAGTAGTTTTATTAAAAAAGAAGCAATCATCCGCGTAGATGCACTTTTCACGCGAGCCGCTTTAGTTGGTTTCGGCTTATCTTGAAGACCTATATGCTCGATTGGTCCTTTGTTTTGGAATCGAAGCAATAAATACATGATTCGTCATCCCAAATGAATCTTCGTTGAATCTGGTAAGCATGGCATTGTACCAAGTGACGCGGTCCGTTTTTTGAGCCTTGGTCAAATTGTGTGGGATCCACCGGGAGCATAGCTTTCTCACACCCAAATGTTTGTGTAGGATTGATTGTGTTTGACTCATGCCTATGGCTAAGGATGCTCGAATCTCCTGGTAGGTCACATGCCTGTTCGTTTCGGTCATACGACGCACAGCATCGATGTTTTGTTTGGTCACAGCGGTGTAATGCCGACCATCACGAGATTCGTCACTGAGATTGACACGACCGCGTTTGAATTTCGCAAACCAGCTATAAATAGTCGTCTGGTATGGAGCTCCGTCGCCAAAAGCAGATTGAGGCCCTGCCTGCCACTGTCAAATTGCACTTAAAATCGTATAAAATCATACTACGAACATTTCCCCCAGTTAATTTAATCAATGTTAATTTAGACACACAATTTTTAAAATGGCACCACAATGTAAAACAATTGACAGTCAGATGAAACAAACGGCATTCTACAGGCATTTTCAATTGTTGCAATTACTTTGTAAATATTGATTATAAAAGTGGCTAGTTCTGGAAACTTAGTGTGACCTATGTACATAAATATTAGCGCGCACAAAAACCAGTTGTTGCTGCTGTGGAGCGTAGTGATGAGAATCCGAATGAGTCGAATCGCTATCGTGGACAGCCACAGCGATTGGAGCTTGCCTATTCACTTTGTAGAAGATTCTGCAGATTTTACTGCACCTTGCCTTAAAAGCTTACAAGATCCAGCTTAAGCAAGAGTAAAGTTGAAAGAGCGTGATCAATATCCTTGATATTTAAAAAAATTGTTCACCGATGGGGTAATGGATTTTCGGTTAAATGGTGAAATTTATAAGATAATATGTACAATAAACCTTTTCATCGAAAATATATATAGTAAGTAGTTGCAACACAACGCTTGCAACATTTTGTCTAGCATGCATGCAAATCTCCCGATCATAATTCCTCGCGATTGTTTACGATGGCTTCTTCTATAGGTATTTTTTTATTGGTCTGATTATTGAATTTGTTTTTCCTTTAAATTGTACATAATAAAATTACACTGCAATATACATTAAATTCTTTTATGTTATATAACTCAAAATTCATGTGTATGCATAGAAGTATTATGTTTAAAAGAAAAGATAAATTTTGTAGTTATAAATGTATTAAAAGAGCAAAATCGAGATTACATTTCAGTAAAAAGACGCAAGTCTTTATTTTGTGCATGATTATAAATATTAATATAGGGACTACAGCATAAGATATTCTAATTTAATAAATTTATGGCATACTCATAGTTTGACTTATGGATAATTAATCACAAATTTTATCTCACCTCCTTATAATTTAAATACTAACTAATCAGAATAAACATTTAACAAATATCCACATTAAACAACAACAGAGTATTTGACTGTTTGATTTATGTTAAACAACATAAATTTAATGAATGGAGTATACTTAAATAATATAATGAATTGTTAACTGATTGTAGAAGATGATGATGCCCCCAACCTTGCTCATTTGACAACTGTCAGTGAGCATGTAAAACAGTATCATCCTACCAGATTGTCTTAGTGAAATTCTTAGTCACATACTTTAAAACTGCAAACATTAATTGATTTTTTTTCTGTAAAAGTAATTAAGGTATACTACAATGTAGAATGAATAGAGTATTATTAGACTATTTAAACATGAATTAATGAAAATAGTGTTATATCATGACCAAAACACTTTTATAACAGAACATTTTAAAAGCAAATGGAATATATAAAAGCATAATGTTATTAAATCATAATATGTTTCAATCACATTATGAGTTTATGAATATTTATGAATTTATTCAATAGATACAAGGATAAGAATTTACTTTACAAAATGATTAAAATTTTGAACATCTAAATTATTCTTCAATCTGAAACTATCTTTTAATTTTAATATCATATGTTCAGTTTGAATAATAAAAGATCTTTAAATTGGAAAGTTATAAATTTCCAATTTATGCAAAGAGTAGTTTATACCATATAAAAAGTTTTTGGAATCACCACTGATTGCAAAACATAGTTCAGAAAACTCTGTTACATGCAATGTGTAATAATTAATGTTTTGTTATATAATGTTTGACACACTGTATACTAACTATTATTCGACTTTTAACAAAATAAATAAAACAGATAACTAAATCTTTGTACATAAAAATTCAACTTGAATAAGAAAACAAATCGTGAATGTATAATTTAAAACAACTTATTCACAATAAAAAAAGCAACAAACTCAGCAACGAAACCTGATGTCATTCAGAAGAAATCAGGTCCCTACTTTGGTGGAATATTAATTTGAATTAATTTATTAAAAAGCAATACATTTTTATTCATATGTGATAATTATTTAGGGTTTTTTATGTTAATGTATATTATGACATAAAGAGATATTGTAAATGCTTAGGATACCATAATTAAGGAACTATAACAACTCTATATAAACATGAGTAGGACAAATAAATCATAGATTATGGTATAATAATTGAGAGCATTGATGTTTGATGGGTTATTATTTTGTACATTAGATTATATTGTTCATTTGCTTAATAGTTAAAATTTCCTCTTTCGTTTTAAAGTTTTCACTGACGAGATGAATTTCACTGATGGGTAATTGACTGTTATGGATACTAGTATATTATAGAGCATTATAGATATAATAACAGCTGAGAACATTATCATTATTTGGATTATTTAAGATAGATTAAAATTTTAAATCGGCTTGGATCAGACTTTTGCAATTTGGAAAATGTATAATTATAATAATTGAAACAGTACCTCACATGCAAGCGAATCTACAACTTGTGGATACACTGTAAACTTACAGTTTATCTAATTTGAGAGTTGATGATTGACAACAATGTGTTCTAGACTCTTAAGGAATGTTGCCTGTGTCGTCTTTGTTACATTAATATGACAATCATCATTTATACCGTAGAAATGTTACAAATTTCGATGGAATTGGACTTTTGTATTCTTACTCAAAACTGTTATAAAAATGTATTTTTTTTTATCAAAACACAGGTTCAGGCATTACTGGATTCAAGTTCAACACCAGTCACAGTGGTACTAAGGTTACCATTGACAAGTATGTCTTGTAATGGTTGTCCCAATATTCCGGAAAGTGAGTCGCTGAGCTTGTAGTAGTTTGTCTCCAAAGCTTCATGGTAGGAGACTTGATCGGAGCTGATGAGTTTTGCGTTCAGTTGAAGGGCCGAGTGGCACACGGTCAGAAACTCCCTGTAACGAAAAAGTAATTTGCGAAATTTGTGATGTGTGAATCTCTGTAATTTGTGAATCTCTGTAATTTGTGAATGAATGAACATATATGTATATTTGTATACAGACAAAAAATTACGAACGTGGCGTTAATTGAGGCAATAAATAGATAATGATTTAGTTATGAATCTTACTTGAAAGTGGTTTTGAGCTTATCGACCAATTCGTCCGGATACATTGGCGCCAATGTTGGATCCAAAAAGGCGTTCGCGTAAGCCAATGGACCGGCGTTCACTTGTACGCATACGCTGCCTTGCAGTCTGAAAAGTGGGATATTGGCATGATTGTAGGTTGGTCAAAACAAAAGTGCACGAATGGCTGCACGAGTCCTGCGCATGTAAAGTTGCGTGAAATTCTTTTTACAACACTTTTGAACACTACATTCACTAGACTTGTTATTTTAATGCAAAGGCAAACTCCCCCTTACGGCTTCGAATTGTATGTTTGATATTCTCAATCACGGTGATAGGGCAACGCGGCAGCTTTTACTGTTGCACGTATTGGCAGCCTAGTCCAGGTAAGTGGCACAGCCTCATGGAAGACAGGAGTGAAGTGGAACTATTAGACTTCTGCATTCCGACTGGTAAGTGAAGTAACCGGTATCGCAACGTAACGTATCTGCAAACGTTAGTTTCGTTTCATTCCTTTGTAAATTGGTGTTGTGTCGTGTCTTGAATAAATGGTTTATTCTCTTCAACAGGTCAGGTATTTCAGACAATTGGCGGCGGTAGTCACTTAGCATCAGGTGAGCCGAATACCGAATACGCTTGTCAACAAAAAAATATTTATTGGGAACCCACCTCAGCTGCAGCTTTTTCAAATCGGGCGACTTCGCGTTTACGATCTCCGTCAGCTCGGTGACCTGGGACTCCATTTCGGCGACAGCGACCTCTATCGGGCTCTTCTCCTCAACTTGGGTGTCGATGACGCGGATGCGACGCTTCACGTACGGGAACCAGTTTTCGGCTGAGTCATATATAAATGGAATACTATAAAAAAGCAGTCATATTTATATAAAATATTATGCGACTACAGATAGTAGTAAGGATCTGTATATGTGGTTTCCTTGATAAATCAATAACTGTATACAATATATCATGGGCTTAAAACAAGCTCATATATTGTATAAAAGAAATTTGAAAAGCGCTTTGAAGAAAAAGCCTCTCAGGCTTCTGTGAAGTCGAATGAAAATGAGTTTACAATAAATTTGCACAGTTTTGATATTGTTTGGTATTGATGATCAACCAGCGGCGATAACTTTTTTCTTATAGTTGCTCAGTGAAATATTTCTTTTATTTTCACCGTATGTATCACGAAAATAAAAGGATTTTAATAACATAATTTAGTAACGTTTTCCTTTTTGGACTTCTAAAAGTACAACACAAAAATAAGTCCTCATTTTCGTTAGACCGTATCGCAGTAGACGCAGAGAGCGGTGGGTGGATGACAATACCAAATCTTATCAAGCTGTAGATGTCATACTTTTAACTAGCGAATCTGAGGCACAAACGTAAGACAGGATGACAATGGAAAATTAGGATGAGAAAACCACTGGCATGAGAACATGTTATATCGCGAGATCAAGTTTCTAGCCACTGGGTCACCGCGGCCTTCGAAGTAAAAGTAATAAAAATCAAGTCCTTCCCAAGTGGTTGGTAAACTTACAAAAACCACAAGTGCTGATATTGCTAATGGTGCCGAAACAGGTTTTTAAATTAAACGACCTCTTATTTCTAACGATGCGAGTATGATCTTAAAGGTGCGGTTTTCTTGACATTTAAAATGATATCAGAACTATTCTGTTGTATAAAAATGTTGATCAACCTAATCGAATTAATAACGAATGGTTATGAATAATGTAATACTCGGTGGCGCCGTTGCTAAACTATTAGCCTCGGGAGTCGTGGGTTCGATTCCCATACGAAAAAAACAGATAATTCCTTCGGATTAGGTTGTTTGTTTACCAAGGAGGGTTGTCGTAAAAACATAGTCAAAATTGCTTACACCATGATTCAAATGTTGTGCCAACCCTACCTAGGTGGGGTAAGGGCAGGATGATGACGATGATGATGCTTATGAATATGCATTTTTACAAGTATACACCATTGTTATGTAAATGTAGTGAAGTTCAATACCAAGTAAACCCACTGTTTATCGAAGTACGAGCTAATGCCAAATCGTACTAGTGTGATGTAGTAATAGCAGCAAACTATCCAGCATCGAAAGAAAATCCTTTGAACTAATTTACAGCCGCGCATTTCTTTATGTCGTTGCAAGTCAGGTAAGGTAGCAGGGCGTCACAAAAAACTGGTGTTAAGTATACATTAGGCATAGAGTCAACAGAAGCCCACGTCTCGACGGGCTTGATACCATTGAACTTATGGTCTCGATGTATGAGCCTGCCTGCGCGTGGAAATGCAGTTACCAATCTCTACAAAAAGTGAGGGGAGTGTGCCACCGGTTACCTCACTTAAGCACTGATGAAACTAAAAAATAGGAATACGGCGCTCTTCTTTTCAGGTCATCCCTGAACGAGGCGGCTCATTGATACAAAACCAGATTGTTACGTATCAACAGACTTGTTGTTTGGACGATTTCGTTCAGTCTCAAAGACTGTAAAGCTTCGAAATAGAGCCTGTATATAATAATGATCACGGGCATGTTAAAACGACACTTCTTTACAGTAAGTGTCTTAACGAACCGTATGGTGTGAAAAGATGTTGATCTCCGTCTTAAGGAAGCGTGTGGTGTGAAAAGATGTCACTTCTCCGTCTTAACGAAGCAACGGCGTGAAAAGATGTCGCTTCTCCGTCTCAACGAAGCGAATGGTGTGAAAAGATGTCGCTTCTCCGTCTAACGAAGCGACTGATTTGAAAAGATGTCGCTTCTCCGCCTTAAAGAAGCAACGGTGTGAAAAGATGTCGCTTCTCCGCCTTAAAGAAGCAACGGTGTGAAAAGATGTCGCTTCTTCATCTCAACGAAGCGAATGGTGTGAAAAGATGTCGCTTCTCCGTCTCAACGAAGCGACTGATTTGAAAAGATGTCGCTTCTCCGTCTTAAAGAAACAACGGTGTGAATAGATGTCGCTTTTTCATCTCAACGAAGCGACTGATTTGAAAAGATGTCGCTTCTCCGTCTTAAAGAAGCAACGGTGTGAAAAGATGTCGCTTCTTCATCTCAACGAAGCTAATGGTGTAAAAAGATGTCGCTTCTCCACCTCAACGAAGCGACTGGTTTGAAAAGATGTCGCTTCTCCGCCTTAACGGAGCGAGCGGTGTGAAGGTGGTTGCAGGCGAGTCTCACCGGTGAGGTGGGTGAGCCGCAGCCGCTGGTGATGCACGGGCCCGCGCGGCGCCCCGTCCCGCGTGAACGGCGTCTCGAACACGAAGCGGCGCACGTTGTGCGCGCGCTCGAAGGAGCCCTCGCCGCTGGAGCTTGCGTTCGCCATGCCCTCGGGGGCGGCGCGCACCCACGTCACCTGCACGTGCGCCAACTTGCCGTCGAGCTCGTCCCGGTTCACCTGCGCCCACCGGAGGCAAAGGATTGTCCCGATTAAACTTTCATTCGTTCATTCAACTCGGAATGAGCCGTTCCAAGTCAACCATTCAATCATTTCGCACCCACGTTCACATGCACGTGCGCCAGCTTGCCGTCGAGCTCGTCCCGATTCACCTGCGCCCCACCGCGGCAAAGGTTTGTGGCGATTAAACTTCCATTCGTTCACCCAACTCTGAATGAGCCATTTTAAGTCAACCATTCAATCATTTCGCACCCACGTCACCTGCGCGTGCGCCAGCTTGCCGTCGAGCTCGTCCCGGTTCACATGCGCTCCCCCGAGGCAAAAGATTGTCCCGATTAAACTTCCATTCGTTCTCCCAACTCGGAATGAGCCGTTCCAAGTCAACCATTCAATCATTTCACCCACGTCACCTGCACGTGCGCCAGCTTTCCGTCGAGCTTGTTCCGGTTCACCTGCGCCTCCCCGCGGCAAAGGTTTGTGGCGATTAAACTTCCATTCGTTCACCCAACTCGGAATGAGCCGTTCCAAGTCAACCGTTCAATCATTTCAATCATTTATTTGCCGTCAATGTGTACACTACATTAGTTACATTCACTTCACGTATTTTCATGTCAATTATAAGCGTTGCGCGAATTCGATCAGTTCAGTATGGCTGTTAAAAGGTGTTTATTTATTTTATTTTATTTATGAACAACCCTGGATGCCATCTTAAGCCATTACTGTAGAAAGCATTAAGTATTAGTTGTTTTTGACAGTTGTTAAGACAAAATTATAATTATTATTTATATAATTACGTCGATGTCAGGAAAATAATATCATTACACAAGTAATAAAATAAAAAATAAATTAAAAAAAAAAAACGAAAAATCTAAAAGCAAAGACCGAACTGTCACGAATTTTAGGCATTATGATCACGAACGTCGAAGGTCGAGTTTATATTTTTTGAAAAAAAAAAAAAGATAGCATACCAAAACTTTGAATTTAACAATTAGTCGTTAGATCGCTCAATAACGAGTTGAATTTTTTAAAATTTTATTAACTTTTTTCTGGTGTCGAGACTGGATTTGAACGCGCGGCACAAAAACTAGACCGGCAAAAAACTCCCCGTCATCGCTCACTTACAGACAACATTCACTAAATTCAATTCGGACATAGTAAGAGCAGTACAGCATTAGCAGCCGTACGGTGGTAGGGCCACGCAGCAGCCTCTGCTGTTGCACGAATGGGCAGGCTCATCCGGTTAAGTACGACGACTTCACAGAAGACCGGCGTGAAGTGGAAGAATAATAGTCTCACGTTTCATCTGGTGAGTGAGGTAGCCCGAGCCCAATTTTCAAAAGGATGTCAACTCATCAGCAACCTTCGCGTGTAGCAGATGTCCATGGGTGGCGGTAGGCATTTAACATCAGGTGAACCGTCTGCTCGCTTGATATAGAAAAAACGCATTACAAAATCTAAAGCCGCGCTCACCGGCGCCGAGTCCATGATCATCTTCACCGAGCCAGCGCCGAACTTCTGCTCGTAGTACGCGTGCAGCTTCTCGGAGATCTCGCTCAGTGACGTCAGCTTCGGCTCCTTGTAGACGAACTCGACTCCCTCCTCGTCCTCGCCGAAATGCGCCTTGCCGAAGAACGCGACGCGGTAGAACCTGCCGAGCAGCCGCTTGCCCGAGTTCGTCACCTCGATCACCTTGGCGTAGGCCTTCGTCAGGTGCTGGTAGCAGGTGAGCAGCGCCTGGTAGTCCTTTCGCCTCTCGTAAATCGGTATGATCAGGCGGTACAGCGGCCCCAAGAGTTCGTATCGCTCCGCTTTATCCACGTATTCCGTGCACACCATGAGTTGCCCCAGCAGCGACTGTTCGTTGTAGTGTACGTCGGTCATGCCTGTAACGTGTCAAAAATATATAAAATTATAAGAAGAAATAAATGAAGATGTAAGCGATTTCCTTTACGGTTGTTATTAAATAGAGAGTATAAGATTCGACTTGACACTGAACACAACATCTACTATGCGCAATTAAAGTAAACAAGACAAATTGAAATAAAGGTACGTAAGAGTACACCAATATTACGTTCACCTGGAACATGAAAAATTCCGTTACAGAAGTGGACAATAAGTTCTCCCGTTCGCTACAAGGTAGACTTCGTTACGAATGCAAATTACAGGTTATTATTGTATCAGTAAAACAAATGAGAACAAAATCACAATATGCGGGCACGATAATCTACAATACAGATTTGAAAAAAAAAAAGTTGTTTCGTCCCATTTCTTATTTAATCATGTATTTAAGTGTTACTCTTTGACCTGCCGAGGCTTTGCATCTGTAAGCAATCCCAATGAATGTATAGGTTATAAAACTAAGTAAAATTATGCCGACCGAACCGAAGCCAATAGGAGTAAAGAAGGAAAATCTAGCAGAAATTATTATACAAGAAATTATTTTCTACATATTTTAAAGAAATTATTTGTTAGTACACAGAGTAATGGGTAAATTCTAAAACTACTTAAATGTTCCAAAGTACATGCAAATACATTTGTCACATTAATCACAATTACTCACGTTAATTAAAAAAGGAACATGAAAATTAATTTTAATATAATTTTTACCTTCTTACAGCTGAAAAGGATTTTCACAAATACAATTAAAGCATTAAATTAACGGTGGTAGGGCACACAACAGACTCGGGTGCTGCACGAATGGGCAGGTCCGTTCGGGTAAGTACCACGACCTCACAGAGGACCGGCGTGAAGTGGAAGTGTTATACTTCTGCGTTTCGTCTGGTGAGTGAGGTAGCCGGGGCTCACTTGATTAAAAGGTGGCAACGCATCTGCAACCCTACGGGTGTTGCAAATGTCTATGGGCGACGGTTATCACTTAACATTAGGAACCGCCAGCCGAGTTTTTGAACCATTGTACCAAGTAGCAAAGTGGTACCATTTCTTCTGTAAACCGATTTAATGTGACCGAAATAATAAACGCGCGAGGTAAATTAATTTTAATACTCGAAGTTAATCTAATGATCATGATTTTGACTTCTCGATTCGAGGGTCGCTACAACCCTAAGAGAAGTCAAAATCATCTTGCGCACTTCTAAGTTTAGGGGATCAGAAACAATGTCATCTACTATAAAGTACGATGATTGCGATCATATGCTTGAATTGGGGTCTCCTAACACTTAGTTTTATTTTGAGGCTCGCACGAATATTTCTTGCGATAGAAGACAAAACCTCTTTATTTTTTGTGTCGATTAGCATATCAATGAGTTTGTACGAAAAGGCTATTTATCACGCAAGTTTAAAGCCGGTAGTTCGCCTTAAATAGAGAGCTATAACACTATACTTTGTGTACGAACATATCGTAAAGTGACCTATTGAAAAGTAGAATAGGCTTGGGACTAGTACTGGATAGGAATAATTTATCAGAGTTAATTCTTTGTAAAGATAAGATTTTTGGTTTGGCCGTAAAACGATAGAGCAAATGTTTACGGTATTAAAATTGACGACCTTGAAACTATAAAGATGTCGCCCCTTTTTCCTTCCTTGAAATGAAAAACCTAATATATTAATAGACGTTAATACATTATGTTGACAAAAAAATAAACTATTTTCCTTATGTCTGTGGTAAGGTAAAACGGTTATAATATTTACAATGTGACAATGCAAGTAAAAGTCCGCTAGTTTAATCTCATCAGTTGTTTTTATAAGTAATAACACCTGTTCAAAGTGTATGTAATTTTAATAGGATTGAAGTCATATTGTGCTATTAAGCACTACTTTTGTATATAGCCGATCATTCTGCAAAAAATAATAAGTTCTTAATTTAATATTGATAGAATACACGGGGAAAATATCTACGAATATAAAAATGACAATCGAATTGCTTAAACACTGGACTAAATTATGCAAATTTATTGAGGAAATTTGTATACATATATTGTTTATAAAACCACGAAGTTAATGGCGATGATATCTTATGGGGCATTTTTATACTAGTATCCGCTAAGTGATCGAAAATCGATAAAAATCGTTATTGAGAATTTGATAAATACATTTATATAGATTTTCATGTTTTTCTACTTTTTTTAAGTTATTTCAGTATGACTATTTCTCACTGTATAAAGAACTGTTTAATTTTTTTATTAAAGCTCTTCAAAAAGTACTAAGAAATATTAAAGAAAATCGCTTAACAAACAGGATAGAAAAAGAACTGAAATGTTCTATATTAATTTAGTCGGTATTAGGGTTTGGGCGCGAAACGAGAAGACGGAGGTTCGAATCTCGCAGCGCCGAAAGTTCTTGTTCATTTACCTACAAATATTTATCATTTAAAGTTTCATCTTGAGTGCAGGGACTAGCGCTAAAAATAAAAACTAATCCTATTTAATTTAGGGTTTAATATGTAAAAATATATTATTATTGTTAATTTTAAATTAACAAGGTGTGATGAACAAAAAAATCAACATCAACAACAGGTAAGCATTGAAAGATTAATTTTTTTATATAAGCTTATGTGACATCTGGAAATTACATAATCACAAATAACAGTTCGTGTATTCAGATATTCCTTGTTGGAGAGAGGATAAAAACAAAATTCAAGACTTCAGAGCCTTCCGTTTATTGAGCGATTCCCTCGCGGTCCTCTTGTATCTATGTCTATATAAATGGAGCAGAGAGTACAAAGCGGTGCAGTCCAAATTGGCGCGCGGCCGCGCGAACGTAACGCAGCCAAGAGGCGCGCCGGGCCCGACGTCTAGAGCCGTTCCGCTATGGGTTTGTTGTACACCGCGGTGCTAGTGGTGGTTGCGGTGACGGTCGGTGGTCGTGCGCAGGACTACAAGGCTGCGGCGATGGTGGAGACCGTCGACGAGGTAGAACCAGTGCGAGGCAGTGAGGACGGCACGGAACCGGTGCTAGTTTTTACGGTGCGTATCGGTACTGGCGTGCCGTTCAATTGGATGGTCGCACGTGGTCTAACTTTTTGCTGAGCGCCGATTAGCCACGGGAATCTTCATATGGAGCGTTATGTATGACTGCATCAGGTATACATAATGATAATGTCGTGTATGTCTGATGTTATACGGTTAACAAGATGTTGGATAGTTTGATAGTTAATAAGACGTTTGACTAAAGTTGTTGAATATAAATTCAACGAACGACTCACCATCAACTTCGATAGAGAATTATTTACTCAGGATTTTTATTGATCAAAATTAAAGTAGTTCGAATTTTAATTGTATAGTAAATTAATTTATTAAAGATAATTTTCATTAGCTTTTGTTAAATAGTGAAAGGGATCTTCGATCTTCATCTAATAAGTAAATTAAAATTCCTCAACATTTTTCTACTTTCTACGGTAACTCTTTTACCGTACAGGCTACTCTACTTTGGAATTACTTGCCTAAAAACATACGAAAACCGCCTAACAGGGCCTCATTGAAACAAATGGTATAAGACTATTATTTAAAGAAGGATAGAATTAATGTTGTCTTGTAGTTACTTCAATCTTCATTTATAGTATATATATGTTATGTTAAGTATATACATTTATATTTTTGGTTTCATATAATATCTTACATATAGTGTTTTGGATTTTGTCATTGGTTTTATTCACGAATCTATAACTATATTGTAATCCCATTTATGTATTGCACCTTCCACGTTTTCTCCTAACATACGGTATGACTTGTAGAGAATGCCAATTGGCAAAAATTCCGCCTTTTGTAATCCCTTTTTTTAAGATATTTCAATAAAGAATAAATAAATATTTTAATTAGAACAATATCCCGCAGGTATTCAGACATGGCGATAGAACACCCGACCAAGAAGAAATAGATAAGTTCCCAGCTGATGAAAAACACGACAATCTTTTCTTTCCATTTGGAAAGAAGGCATTAACAAATGTGAGTTGATAATACACAAACAAACCTATATAGACGTTCAATAATAATATTCAACATCTATATACATACAAATGAATAAAATTGGAGTGTCTGTTTGTAATATTAAAATAGCCGCTTTTTACTAAATGGATGTATACACGCTACATATACCAAAATAGCATTTTTTACAATTTTTGTCAGTCTGTCTATCAGTTTGTTCCGGCTAATCTCTGAAACGGGCGATATGGACGGATTTTCACTGGCAGATAGCTAATGTAATAAGGAGTAACTTAGGCTACTTTTATTTTAGATTTTTTTTTATTAAGTAAATAATATTATAGGTTAATACGAGTATAAAAATGAAGATGTAAATAATTACTTAAACATAACATTAGCGACATAATTGCATACAGCAACCCTTCATTAGCAAAGGTCTCACTTTATACAGTAAAAATGCGATACCAGTTCTTGAGCTGGAATAGTAGAAATTTGTTACGGTAAGCAATTCAGCTAAACATTAACTTAGCAAAAGCTGTATATGTCGCTATAAATACGTGTAAAACATAAAGAACATAAATCTAAGTCTACACTGTAGTAATTAATGGAAAACATTACGTAATTTCAAAATACAGTGTATGTTCAAGGTTTTTTCTAATGTAAACAATATTAGAAACGTGTACTATAAAAAGTAAATAGAAAATTAAGGTACTTACTTAATAAGCGTTAGAATATCGTCTGCATTGTTTGCTTGGTTTTATTTTAACTTACTTTTCCTCATCGATACTAATAGAGGCTTCAATCATTAGAAAGGTAAACAGCGGGGCTACAAGGTTGGGGAGTTCCTCAAGGAGCGTTACAATAATTTCATTTCCTCGTTGTATCTACCTGACGAAATTAAAGTACGAACTACAAACTACGACCGCACTAAGATGACAGCCTTGACCGCAATGTCCGCGCTGTACCCACCACTACCACCCCAAAGATGGAACCCTGCACTAAACTGGCAACCAGTTCCGTATGACACTCTTGAATATCAGACTGACGATGTAAGTATACATTGCATTTAAGCCGTATTTACAGGCTATTTTAGCCGATCCCATGGGAAGGAGTAAAACGCATAACAATACTGGACATCAATGTAAAAAATAATGATTTAGATGGTCACTTGTCTGCCTAGTGACATCGCGCGCCGTATTGGGATAATAATTTGTGTGTTACACAAAGCTTGCCGTGCTTTGTATGCTATGCTATAATTCCTATATCTGTTTAAAGAGGATGTCAAGAACAAGAAAGCGGGTTTGCCATGTGATCGAAGTAGTTATTTGTTGGGCTCTTCGATAAGGTCGAGTAACGTTAAAACTTATCGGTAGTTTGGTAATTCTTCATCTGAAAGAGTCATTGGGGGTTTTGCCATCGATATAAAATTGCGCATAACAGAAAAAAGATACGTAAAAGTGATAACATTACCATGTTCAAAGAGAAAGAAGCAGCGCGAGTTAACATAACACAACTAAAGGACACTGCTTTTAAAACTGAAATAAATATTTTGTATGCACAAAATGGGTTTCATAATTATATTGATCATAGTTTAAGTTATTTATTTATTTGTCATATTAATGCCCTTAAATGTAACGATCTTATAAATCCGAATATATCTTTTATAGCTCCTTTATTGGTACAATTGTCCTCGTTACACAAAACTCCGAGATAGCATTTACCAATTGCCAGAGGTAAAAAAATGGCTGGAGCCTTACCAGAGTTTTTTTAATTATTTGAGTGAGAAAACTGGAGCTAATATAACTACAACCGAGGATGTTTTCTTCCTAGATAATTTATTCCAAACTTTGGTGAGCATTATACCGGTATAAGTTTTTTTTTTTTTAATGTAACGCAATTAATATTATTTAACGTTTCAGGAAAACGTTGGGGTGAAGCCACCTAAATGGGCTCAGGAAGTCATGCCCAAGATAAAAGAGATGACTAAAATTGAATACGCCATAGAGTTTTATGATAACGATCTAATAAGAATAGCGTCTGGTAAAATAATGTTTTGTTAAAACACTGACATGTGTTTTGTATATCAAAACCTCTCATACAAAGTAACTGCTTTATTGCAGGTGTACTCTTAGGAGATATATTGAATGCATCAAGATCAGCTATTGACGGCGACTTAGAACAACCAAAGCTACGTTTGTACTCTGCCCACGAAAATAATGTGGCAGGATTAATGGCTGCTGCCAGGGTGTTCGAACCTCATCAGCCGAAATACGGGTCTACTTTTTCATTGGAATTGAGGAAAAGAAACAATACAGCCGAATACGGATTTTTGGTACGTTGCATAAAAATAAAAATTTACTAATGAGTTTAATTTAAATCGAGAGAAAAAACTCTAAATGGTTTTAAACAATATTTAGACTGCTTGTTACATTATTCAAGTTACGGACGAGGAAACGTTTATATTAAATTTAAGATATTGCATGCTATAAACCACACTTCAATGAAAATATATTCGCATTTTCGATTTTGACCTTGGAGTTAAGGTAAAGTCATTGTTTGAACATAAGATTATACATGGCTGCATATTAAAAAATACGATAGTCAGATTAGCGATTTATTAAATAATAACAAATAATATATGGAAAATGATAAGTAATAGTTGGATAATTGGGACTGCAACAAACTTTACCCATTATTTTAGATTATGTAAATATACATAGTTTTTTTTTCAACAGGCAATTTATGCTGCGACTGCTGGTGGTCCAAGCGTTGCCCTCCCCATTGCAGGTTGTGGAGATGATCTCTTCTGCGACTTTGACACATTTGTCAAACTAACAAAGGATGTTGTATTGTCAAGGGAAAACTTTTTACATGAATGCTTGACTTAAGAGTTAGAATAAAAAATTCTCAAAAAGAAGGTCAATGCATAATATCTTTTTTATATAAAGCTTACTGGTGATAATTAGGGCTGTTAAATGTGATTTAAAATCATTTATTGTGATATGTAAAACATATTATTAAAAAATGCAAGTAGGTACGAAAAACAGTGTCTCAAAAGGAGACACGGTCAATAATTGTAATTGAACAGAATAAACTGGCTGTGATTTTGATGTATTTTTTTTTCATCTTTTCCTTTTAATTAACTATCATTTTTTTTAAACATTGACCCTTTTAAGTTACTTTTTGTAAAGAGAACTTGCAGGTGGATTTCAGTAGAGAAGATATTTCTGTATTTTGTAACAACACCATTAAATATCAACTTGTCCAAAAAGTAAAAAGTAGTAAATTGAACGGCGAAAGTTTAACAAAATGTAATGTAAAAAATTTAATGTGTTAAAACACTGCCCTTACTTTAGGATAATATTATCCTGTGTTGTAAGGACGTTTTACAAACATAAATTTCACGCGGACAAACACCCAGATGCGAAACAACTATCTGTGGGTCACACAAATAGTTGTCCCGTGTGGGAATCGAACCCACGACCCCCGACGTCGTAGCCAATACTTTAGCAACTGCGCCACGGAGTCATCGATGTACCTAATACAAAAATAATATATGGTGTGTAATGTAATAAAGCTACTCCAATAACTCCCTACTTTAATAAGCGGACTCAGAAGTATACAGCAGAATTTTGTCGATCTTTAAGAAATAACAATGCTTTGCAATATATAACAGGCGTTTAGGTAATGCCAGGTCAGGCCTGTATAATCTTTTTAAATTGGTTATAATCTTTTGCGATTTTTGAAAACGTTTAAGTTTTTTCTATTGATATATTTCCTGAGCTAAATTTGGTTTTGATACATGGAGTCAGCTAAATCGTAATTGCTGTCTGTGACCGCAAACTATTAATTGAAATTACTTTATTATACATTACTAATTTGATCACGTTCTGATCGTTTATATTCTCTTCGGAAACAGTTCATGTCATTTGTTGCCATAAGATTGTATAAAAGCATAGACAGTATTAGTATCATTTACTTAAGATTAGATATAACAAGAGATATATATATGTGCACGAGTAACAATACAATTTCTGTTATCAAAGTGATCATTGAACGTGTTGTATTTTCAAGCGGTTTTTGCATTAACAAACGTTGAATAGTTAAAAAATATGGTGTCGTTATCATCTCTAATTTGTACGTATACAGATTTGTTTCGAAAGTTGTAAATTATTAGGTATGTTTTGCGGAAGACGTTACAAGTAGAACAGTAATTTCAAAGACAGTTTGCAACTTGGAATATAATTCTGGCAATTTACAATCACCTATACTTTTAATTAATAATCGTGAAAAATTTTCGCCTTATTATGATGGCAGATAATTTTGCAAACTATGTTTGTGTTACTTCGTTTGTAGTTGACGTTTTTGCCTTCTGCATATGTAAAATACAAATCCCATAAGTTTTTTTACTACAAAATTTAAGATATATTTTGGATTAATCAAAAAAATTACTTCTTTACTATTGGACTTTAGATAAAACAGAAAACGGGAAGAACGTTCAATTTAACACTGTATATAAAGCGATATTTGATGAACAGTTTGGCATGAAAGCGGAAGATACTCTTCGTTCGCACGCAGAGAGCGCAATCTTTTAATTCACTCCATCAGACAAATCGAAGCACCCGTGCCGGAGTGACTAGAGAGCTATACGAGGGGATTAGAATCTTTATCATTGTATCAATTTAAGGACGCACACAAGCTAAATGTAATACGAGAAGATTACAATATTGAACGCACTAATCAAAAACAAATGTATCAACGGAAAACAATGTTTCAGTAGTGTGCTGTCCAGGGTTGTTACGGTCGCCTTTATGTAGTGCTCTGTGCAATGGCCACGTTAGATCATCACAGCCGGTTGACGTAAACGTCAATTGTCTCCGGACGCGTGCGGCCTAATGGAAAATCGGATCGGGCCATTCAACGTAACGTCGGCAAGGGCGTTGCGAGGGAGCCGGAACGCCCGCGCTGAACATACCGTGCGCCGTGTAAATAGACGCCGTGTCACAATCGATTGGTCAAAGTCAATCATCTGGGGCAGGTCGGTGCGACCGTGAATAGCGGCCGCTTCCCGCGCGCTTTGCAGTGGGACGGAGCGGCGCGCGCCGAGCGCTTCCTGCCTCGCATCGCCCGAACCGCACAGCGAACGACGCGCGACGCCGGCACCGACCAAATGTTCTGACCACAATTGCCATCGGAACGCGCATCACGTTCGTACTACGATGTAGAGCTGCCGACTCGTCGGAGGAAAATGTGAGTGAAGTTTGGAAATTGAACATTTCGGACCCGCTCCGTTGAGAGTTGAGCGATTGGCGTTATGAAAAGATCCTTCGGCACGTGTACAGTTACAATGATTCTCCGTTCGCGCAACTAATTCTTAGACTATTAACGATTTGTTTGTGATACGAAATGCATCATAAAATACATGACAAACGGCTGGCAAACAAAACGTTATCGGTTGTCTAACATAAAATTTAATTCTTTACTTATTTAAAATCTTTTTTATATGATATATTGAGCTATATACCCTTCAGTACCATAATAGGAGTACGCTCTAGAAAACTCTGGCTGGTTACTACTGAACAATGATACAGCCTTAATTAATGTAATGGGACGGCGAAGAACCAATTGATTCAATTCTCGCAAAGTGACGATTTCGGCTACCGGACACGCGACAAGAAATTGGGGCCGCTTTAAGAGCGATCAGTTCGCTTGAAGTGGCCTGTAATAAAACTTGCCTAAAGGAGTAACACAAAGTGACATGCACAAACATGCACAGGAAAGAGGGCGGTCGCGAGGAGGAGCCGACCAACGCGGCGGAAGAGGTGCAGGGCCGGCACACTGAACGCACTTGCTGTTGCCTCGGCGTGTTGGTGGGCGTCTCACTCATTGCCGGTGAGTAGGTTCAGTGTTGGTACACTTTTTTTACGGTTGTTGAGAGGTTACCACCGCCCTTGGACATTCACATGAGTGTATGCTAGTGCATTGTGAGCCCTTTAAAACTCACCCACCGCACCGTACGAAACGCAAAATTGTAATTCTTCTGGTCTTCAGTGAAGCCGTGGTAAGAGGTCCGATTACTCGTGCAATAAAGTCTATATAAGTCCGGGGCTTTACTACAGATACTCTCATATTATAATATGCTATTTTATGGTGTGGTAGGTTTAGCTTCTCAGTAGTAAAAATAGTAGTGTAAGTAGTAGAGTAGTATAAGTAGTAGTGTTGGAGTAATCTTATATAACATCGGTCTGCACCAAAGTGCAAAGACCGATGTTATATAAGATTTTTTTTAAATACGCATTTCGCAGACTAATAAGAGCGTTGTTTGTCAGTCAGTCTGTGTAAATTTTTTTTTTAGTAGAATCGACTAATGTGTGATTGTCACAAATTTGTAGTTTTGAATTGGGCAATGGCACTGACTATTATAGCGCCTTGACACATAGTGGATATTGGCCTCCGATTCTAAAAGATACCATTTCGACCGCCCATGTTAATTGTGGATAATGCAACCTCAGGACAAAATTTTGTGCTCACAGTCTCAGTGGATGTAGTCTCAATTTCATAATATTATAGTCGGGCTTAATTTTTTTGTATATAAACAACAGATAGCTATTTTAAGTTTAGATTGACTAATACTTTTTCTAACATTGGAATGTTAGAAAAAGTATTATTGTGCAAGTATCTAAAACTAACTAGTCATTGGCAATGACTAGTTCGTGTTCCCGCAATGAGTCATTGGGAGAGAATTCGTTTTAATATACGATTCAATATTCCAACAGCCCTCGTTGCAGTGATCCTGATGAAAGACACCACCGTCGAGGTTACAGTTCTCAGGCAGGTGCACGTGGTGGGTACATTTTTTTTGTTATTTATAAGAAACGCAATTGATCAATTGCCATTATTGCTTTTTTATGTGAAAATTATCAAATCAAGCGGGTAGACCTAACGCCTCCCATCGACATCTGTAACCATTAGATTATATACTTGTCATCGATTATATATTCAAGTATAGAATCAAAACTTGTCATCAGTATATAATCAAAGGCAACACCTGAGGGCTTGTAGATGAGTTGATAGCCACATATTCAAAAAAAAAAAGAAATATTATTATGCACGTATCATTCACTTCAAAATTATTAGCGTCATTTTAATTTGACCAATTTGTGCGTTCGCGTTATTAGTAATAGTGTTGCTTTAATGAAAAAAAAAAGTGCAAATCGTAAAATCTAAGTGCCGTAATAATAAAATCTTATTGTCACGATAATGCTGTTTACGATAGTCATAAAAACTACATTTATTAAATAATTTTAATAGAAAACTAAGTTTACACGTAAACAATGATAATAAATACAATAAACCATGCGATACGGATGGATTAAGCATAAAATTGTAATACCACGCAGCATTCGTCACTGGTGCACGAATGGGGTGGGTAGGTTCATCCGGGGAAGTACCACGAACTCACAGAAGACGTGAAGTTAAAATGCAGAAATGTTATACTTCTCTACCTCTTCTCTACCCAATTCAATGAAAGGTGCCAACGCATTTATAATCCTGCGGGTGTTGCAAATGTCGATGGGTGGCTGTTATCACTTAACATCTGGTGAACCACCTGCTCGCTTGCCATCTTCATACATATAAAAAAAGGGAATGAAAAAAAATTCCATGAATTTATTTGTTAGGATATTATTAGACAATTAATAATAATTGAAATGAAAGTAGGTTTACAGTTAAATCATTATTCGAAATATATGTATAATGTCTATACTAGACATTATATTTTTATTGGAAAAAACGGAAATTTATGTTTACGAAAAAATACCAACAACTTTTGAGTCATCAGGTCTACTGCAATATAATACTAAAACTTTCTACATAAGTAAGGATATTTAGGACCTACATTTCATACAATGAAGCACAGGAAACTGTGAGAAAAGTAAAGTAGAAGCATATATATATGTCCCACTGCTGGGAAAAAGCCCCCTCCGTAGCGAGGGTATTAGGGCATAGTCTACCACGCGACCTAACTGCGGATTGGCAGAACTTCACATATTTCGAAAATATGCAGGTTTCCTTCACCGCTGAGCAATTTCATTGCGGTAATCCCGGTATCAACATCAACGGTGTTGATACCGGGATTTAAGCGCAGGTCGCTAGAAGTATATTGAATCAAAAACAAGCGCCTGTAGGCACAATGAGCTATCACTGCTCTTATCGGACCTTTAAAAATTAGCGAATATAGGGACACGATTTAAATCACGTGCGAAATGTGAAACGTCGCTCCTAAGCGGATATTATACTACGAATAATAATTAGTGTCGTAAACGCCGATGAAAGATAAAGATTGCTTGGTTTCTTGCGGCTGATTACAGATTCAAAAGCGTTTAAATTTGCATTCGTATGTATAGTTGATGTCGCACGGGGAGCGCACGCCTAGCGAGCGTGAGCTGGCTATGCTGGGCGCCCCGCCGCCCGATCATGTGTTCGCGCCGTACGGTGCTGGCGCCTTGACCAATGTAAGTAGACCCCTCAACCAACATTACACGGTTGCCTAGTGGACGGTACAAAATAACTTAACCCCTCATTCTATAATTCTCAATTTACTGTAATGTATGTTTTTGCTTTCAGTCCGTAGACTACTAAAGATTCATCGTAGGATAGACAGTACCTGAGTTTGTATAATTCACACCCCGATCTGAAGGGCTGAAGTTAACTGAAAATCTCTGAAATTCAGACAACTTATGGATTCGATCTTTCGATTATTAAGTAAATAAATATATAATACTATAGATACTATATAATACTATAGATAAAATATGCTAGAATGATTCAATAAAACTTAATACTGTTTTAAATAATATTTTAAATAAGTTACAAGTACATTCGGCTATTGTTCGGTATTGGGCCTATGCGGCTATTTTTGTCCTACTAGCACGAATACCGAATACTTGAATAATAATCACGCAATTGGTAAAACCAAAATAATTATTTACTTTTCCTGTAATTATTAAAGTAGTCATATGTAAAGAATTTAATTTATAAAATTTAAATGTGCTTACACTTAAATTGTCACAAAATCTATTAACGGAAAATTATTGTGCAGAAACACTATTTATTTTTCAGAATTTTAAAGCGGTAGTATTTCCTTCCACACTTTAGGTCTCAGATCGTTACCATTATTTTCGTAGTGTAGATGATAAAATTTCTTTTAAAGGCCAAGTTTAATATTATTAGACTAAATTATTGCACTTTTGAAAAAAGTGCAGTTTAACGCATGCTATGAGCTTTGTTTACGGACAAGGAGTTTAAGTTAAACTTTCTGAACAAGCTATGCTGAAGAAATTGTCCCATTATATTTGTCCAAAAGTATATTCGGTATTAGGCGTGTAGCTAATTCTTGTGTTAATAAGTCTATTCAAGGCTAGCGGCAAAAGCAGATTTGAAACAGATTCAGTAAATATTGAAACCATTAAAATGATTATTATTGCATTTTATTTTGTCTTTGTTTCTTGATGCTTAAGCCAATATTAATAAAACAGCAAATTAAATTTATTTAACAATGTGTTTGCGCAGATACAGGAGATAGCAATCGGTAATATTAACATAAGTTCAAAGGTCTAATGCAATAAATCCGCCGTTACAATAAGCTGTCAGGTTCGCGTCCGAATTTAAATCCATTCGCTGAACGGCATCGCGTGGGAATCGCGCGAAATGTATTCTTCAACAATGGACTATCCCAGTGTAGTTTCCCGATTGATCGGACGATAATGCGTTGAGCGTAACTGATTACTTCTGCCGCTCAGAAAACTTCGCCTACTGCGTTACGTTTATACATGCATGCATCGAGTCGATTGTGATTTCGAAGGAAGTTCATTGCGACGCGGAGCGATTCCATTTTTATCACCACTATTATGTAGTGGTGATAAAAACGGAGTGGTAGGTAATGATCGTACGTAGCAATGACACAGGATAGACCGCAGACATGTGAGTGCGACCGATACATTTGCTTCCTGCTGGCGCGGGGGGAACCTCTGGGCCGAAGGTCGGGAGCTATGAACAGGAACGAGGTGTCGGCCCAGACGCAGATTGTTGTCGGACTCTAATAATGATTTATTGCCCGCTGCAGCACACGTCACGGGCCACAGTAAGGCTGGGAGCTTGTACGCGTGATGCGCAGGAGTATTAAATTAAACTCGAACGTTTTATCGCTAGGCTTTTAGGTTATGATTGAGTGGACTTTACTTTTTGTTTGGAGATCAAGAATAAAAGATGCAGGATCCATGGAGCTAATTGTAACCATAAATATTGAGTTCATCACAACCAATATCAATACCAAATGGTTATTTGGTATTGATATTGGTTGTGATGAAAGAATTGTCTACAAATAAAAACTGTGAATGTTAATATATACGGTCGTAAAATTTAAGCAACATTACGTGAATCGGAAGTGATTTATACAGGAAGGCTGGTTATTTAATATTTTACTCTCTCTACCTCTATTCTATCAAACATGGTAAATTGAGTGGGGTAAAATCATCCTAACATCGCTAAATAAATGAATTACAAGCTCGGAATGCTAACGTTATTTAAGTATCTTACATGTTACAGCAACATAAAGAAAGGTAGACATCGTATCTAGGAAATCAATGAAGAATTTTATATTTTAAAACAGAGATGCATGCAGGAAAAATGAACGATGTTGATTTTAATGTCGAACTAATGTCAACAAATAATAACATTAGTAAATTAGTATTTTATACTTAGATATAAAAATGACAGAAAAACTGATTTAAGTTTAGCGATAGACTATTCTGATTAAATACGAAAGTTACATTTATTTTATACTTTATTATATTTAAAAAAATCGAAGATAGCAGTAGCAGAAAGGTAGCTTACCCAGCAGTGGGACACTTATAGGCGGTTACTGTATTTTTAACCGACTCCAAAAACGGAGGAGGACTGTACATATTTTTTATGTATGTTGACCGATTTCTCTCCCCATTGTGGACCGATTCTCAAAATTATTTTTTTATTTATCTTTTCAGGAAGGGAAAATGGCGACTTTCGAAATGGGCGCACTACTTAGGAAAAGATATAATGAATTCTTGGGACCATATTACGAAGATGGTAATGGACTTTTTGGGTATCTAAAAGCAATAAAAACCATACCAACCTGTTGTTCACCTGACGTTAAGTGAAACCGCCGCCTATGGACATTTGGTTTGCAGATGCGTTGCCACCTTTTAAAAAAATGTGCCCCGGCTACCTCACTTACCAAATGAAATGTAGAAGTATAACACCTCCACTTCACGCCAGTCTTCTGTAAGGTCCCTATCCGGACGGACCTGCCCATTCGTGTAACAGCGACCACTGTTGCGTGGCCCTACCAAAGTTTAAGTTACTGCCATTTGCTTTATTGGAAAGTTTTTATTTATATATTTAATTCAAGATAAATTTTCTAATTTTTTTCATAAAAACAAATGTGCACCACGCAACGCTAACCACATCACATCCGTCAATAACAAATTATAAGCAAAACTAATATTGACTAAGATCACTAAGTGCCCATGCATATTAGACAAACAATCAATCCAAGAATTATACGTTGATTTAAAACCAGTGGAATATTAATTGAATGTTGTTTGAATATCTTCCGCAGGTAAACACGTCGTGATAACGTCGGACACAGATCTGAGCAAGGTGAGCGCTCTGCTGATATCGGCGGGCCTTTGGCCGCCTCCGGCAGAGCAGATGTGGAACGACACAATGAACTGGCAACCCGTGCCCTACTCTTACCCACCGCGGGATACAGACTACGTATGTGAAGTACAAGATCGATATTATCCTAGTGGACGGGAAAGCGGATTTGACTTTAATCTCGCGGGTTCGAGCCGCTACGAGTAGAGATTATTTTTTTTATGTAAAAAAGTGGCTAAAGAGCTGGCTGTTCACCTGATGATAAGTGATCATCACCGCCCACGTATATTCGCAACACCCGTAGGGTTGTAGATGCGTTGCCACCTTTTAATTAAGTGCGCCCCGGCTACTTCACTCACCAGACGAAACGCAGAAGTGTAACACTTCTATTTCACGCCGGTCTTCTGTGAGGTCGTGGTACTAACCCGGCCGGACCTGCCCATTGGTGCAATAGTGAACACCATTGCGTGACCCTACCACAGTTAAGGCTGAGTTGACGATGATTTCCTTCATTGATTACTTAGGTCGCGAGTTTAATTCGTAGTTGCGGACACAAACGGGGTTTCAGCTTCTCGGATTTATTTCGTACAACTTCCTTGTTAAAGTTTCGCATATAAGCGTCATCTACGACTGTCTGTCAAGTTTGCAACTGAATCAGCTCAGTGGTGTTTCTGTAAGTCGTTATGGTCCATGGAAGTGTAAATTTATTATATTTAAATATCTCCTACATTTTTATGTATATGATCGTTAATTGCGATTTAAAGAATTATGTTTTAACAGGTGTGCTGTTTTCAGAGAGAACCAAATATATTCTTACTGATATTTTACTACAAAAACGAAATTCAAGTATGTCATGAACATTCAGTATCAGTTTAAACGAGGACAATTGGTAAACGATTTTCACCTCGACAATAAAAATATCTTTGAATTTAATTCACTTAATTCTTGTCGATAACGTTAAAGCGAACAAGATTTCGAACGGAGTAAAGGACAACGTGTTGATATCCTTTTAAATAAAACTAAAGAGATTTCATGAATAATAAATAAATTAAGAGAATGTCGTTGTTAGTTTTGTTACAAGAGAAACCTTTAATGTTACAGCTTCTATACGAGGAGAATTGTCCCCGGTACAATCAGGAGAAGGAGAGAATACTGCAGGCGTTCACGGAGGAGGGGCTGCTAGCACCCTACAGGGACTTTTTCCACAAGATAGCGACTTTGACCAACACCAACTTTAGCACACCACGCGAAGCGTTTGACCTTAACAACCTCTTTATAATACAGGTATACAACACAACTACATATCTTATCTAAATATCTCAATAACGCAATGATAGGATGGAAAGTATAGTGTTGTTTGAATATGCGGAAGTTGAAATGATTTATTGCCTAATCTTTTCGCGCCTTTGGATTTCTAAGCTACAAAATTCTCTATCAAATTCTCATGAGGTGTATAAAAGACCTACAAAACGTTCGGGCTAAATGCGGGGAAGGAAATGAAAACGATTAATTATATTTTTCTTTACTCGTACAAACCTACAGACTCTGACTTTTTCAGGTAAAATTCTCTCTTAGTTAAAATTCTTACGTAATATTTTTAATAATATTATTTAAATAGACACATTTTGTTATAAGTGTCTAATATTTTTTTAAGGACGACATCAAAGTCGCGAATCCAAAGTGGGCAAAACATGTTAAAAGAAAGCTGATGGATGTCGCTAGGATGGAGTTTTCTATGATGTTCCATAGCAATCTTTTGAGGAAACTGAGCGGTGGTGAGTTAATAAATTACGATTCCGTTAAAATTATGTTTTAATTTAAATACTTTTTTTATGTACACGATACTTTTACTACTTGACATGGCCCTATTCATACAAATTTTCGAATTTTTTTTAAAGAATTTTTGAAATGTGGACATGAAAAATAAAAACATCAAACAGCTTCGCTGTAGTTTTTTCCCCTAAAGAGTAAATAAAGTTGTGAATAAATATCGAGTCAATCCATCGATTCGTCTTTTGTGTACACAGACAGAGAAGCTAAATTTTAAATATACAAGGAGGCTTTTTTAAGTGTATCCATTTCTTTTATTAAATCATGTTATATACAATATGATAAATATTTCAAATTACTAGTAATTATGGCAATTTTTTTGAAAAAAAAAAAAGTTTGTTTTTATTTCAATAAACGATTATACTACCGAGTCTGAACTTTCTGTGTGAATTTGGGCACCTTTAGAAAAGCCACCCTGTATAAAGATTATCTCATAACTATCAATCGCATATGAAGCGTTCATTTGCGATCAACGCGCGTCCGTCCGCAGGCGCGCTCCTGCGAGAGATCATAGCTGAGTCGTCGCGGCGCGGTGCGGGCGCGGATAGGCCCGCCCTTGTGGTTCGCACCGGCACCGCGGTGTCCGTGGCGGCGCTGCTGTGCGCGTGCGTCGCCCCGCCCCCCCGGCCCCCCGACCCCGGGGCCGCCCTCATCATAGAGCTGCACGAGAGGCTTTCGACTAAGGCGGAGGGCGCCGACGCGGCGAACAACCTCGCCAAGCGATTCGGCTTCAAGGTAACGCGGACACATACGGCGGAAACGGAACGTACACGCATAGACACGGAGAGTGTAGGGTGGAGTACATTTAAGTATTGTAGACTACCTAATCTTATTTGTTCTAGGAGATAATGCCTTTGGCATTAAGTCCTTTGTAGGCGTTTGTGCACACATTCACGGCGGAAACGGAACGTACACGCATAGACACGGAGAGTCGGAGAGTGTAGTGTAGAGTACATTTTTGTATTGTAGCCTATCTAATCTTCTCCGTACTGGGAGGTAGTGCCTTTGGCATTAAGTCCGCCTTTGTAGCATTTGTACATAGACTATTTTCTATCAATAGTTCATTAATGGTACACTAGAATTACTATTTACAACTGAACAGGTAAGGGAAATTTTAGCTGTGGTAGGGCCATGCAAGTCTTCGCGGTTGCACTAAAGGGCAGCTCCGTCCCTGAAAGTGCCACGATCTCACAGAAGACCGGCGCGAAGTAAAAGTGTTCCATTTGTGCGTTTCGTCTTTTGAGTGAGGTAGCCGGAGTCCCACTTTATTAAAACGTGCCAACGCATCTGCGACCCTACGGAAGTTGCAAATGTTACTGTATTGTTAGGGATCATGCACTGTAACCATGTATTGTTTATCTCGTTCTTTCCGGCGAGTAACGTAATTTGCAGTTTTTTTATCCCTCTCCGAGCTACTGGATCAAAAGGTGCATACGACATGATCAGAGACATATGTAATAAACGAAAATGAACCATTTGGGTAAAGATATACATAGTTTGAAATGAAGTGAGCTGTAAGCCCACAGATTTATTACTGGATATCTTTGCCCCCTCGGGAAAGATATAATATCATTACTATCATTCTCTCGCAATCTACACAATTCTAACACATGCATCTTAAGCACAATTGCTCGTGTGCACAGATCTTGTGTATATACCCAGACATGCTCGAAATTTATGCTTTCCCATTGGGTCGGTGTGACTAGCGTGATAATTATAATAGACCTTTAAAAACTTCACGACAATAGTGTGACGCGAGTTTTCCTGTGGCTGGCATTCCCTCTTACTTTAAATTTTCTTCTTCTTTTGATTTTACCACAAACCTGTTTTCAAAGCTTTCCGTATTTCAAGCTAGATAGGTGTTGATTAGCATAGAAGGTAAAACATGTCATAAGAACATAAGAAAAAAAGATAAAACATGTCCTTTTAATAGTCCAGAATAGATTGAAATGACGCCTTAGGTCTCATCGACAGCGCTAAATAAATATTCGGACTCGAACACAATTCAATACTGCTTATATTGCACCACTAAGGGAATTTTCCAGTAGGTTATTTACTTTTCAGATATATTACTGGGACGATGATTCGGCTGAACCGCGGTTAATAGAAGTGGTGGGTTGCGAGCCTTTCTGTTCGTTGGAGACGTTCAAACGTTTGACGCAACAAGTCATGTCTTACGACTATAAAGAAGATTGCAAACTCACGCCAACCGCAATCGACCACAAGGACAGTAGCATAGTTGGTGCTTAGTTTTATACTTTATAATGTAAGGAACTTGTTATGCGAATATATGCAATGGTAATCATTTGATAGCGAAAAATAAATTGCGAAAAAACTTGTGTGTGTGTGTCACTTACCTTCGTCGATTTTGAGGCCGGTCTCGTCGCGTGGAATGTTCATGGATATTTCCGTGAACGCCTCGGCACCCCAGCTCTGGGTGCCGCGCTGCTTCAAATACTCCGCTATGAGGGCTGCGATGTGAAGTTGGCAGCACATGGCCTGTGGGAGCAAACTGTCGTAAATACATGCGAAACTGTGAAGTATGACTTCAAGACTTTCATGGGGTTATACGGCGGCTGTATTTGCTAAATTGGCGAACAAAGTGATTTTTTGCTACAGTTGCTCGTATGCTCTTATTGAATGGGATATCTTAATGGAATAAACTAATAAAACATGATAACACAACTGTGTTACCCATGGACATTTGCAACACTCGTAGTGTTGCAGAAGCGTTGCTACCTTAAAATAAAGTGTGCCCCGGCTACCTCACTCACCAAACGAAACGCAGAATTGTACACCGGTCTTCTGTAAGGTCGTGGTACTAACCCGGGCGGACCTGCCCATTGGTGCAACAGTGAACACCATTGCGTGACCCTACCGTAGTTAAGGCTGAGTTGACGATGATTTCCTTCATTGATGACCACTCAAAATTTCAATTACCAATTTCATCGGTGTCGGTACCGGGATTTAAACTGAGGTTGCTCAATTATGCTAAGTTATAGATAAAACATTTTGCATTTTATTAACAAAAACAAAACCAACATCGAATACTAATTACAACTTACTACTTCTTCAATTAAAGACTTCAGTATTCATTTCCATATAGTTGGATTCGTTATGTATTTACGGAGTCCAAGGACCAATACCAATAAAATATATACGGGACCGCATGGGAGCTGAACCAAATCCAATTTTAAAATAATTAATCTGTCCTGCAACAACTGAGGTCTGAGGTAACAAGCATAAAAAATAAAACATAATTATTGAGAACTTTCTTTTTTTGAAGTCGGTTGAAATGCGAGCGTCCGGACACTGAGTTCTCACGACTCAGTGACAGCCCTATGAACCCATAAATACGTGACGGTTACCTCGTCGTGGTCGGATTGGCGCGCGTTGTGGTCGGCGAGCGTAGCCAACCAGGCGTGGCGTAGGCGCGGCGTAGCGCGGCACGACGCCGCTAGCGCGTGCTGCAGCTCGGCCAGCTGGACGCTACCGCCCGCTGCACACGAGACGAGCAAGCTACAGCTACGGCAATCGTAGGCGTCGTAGCACAACAACCGGAATATACCGGGTGTCGCACTTGTCAAGCATATTTATAACGCCTGGGAAAGGTCACAAGATGCAATAGGTGTCTTTTGCGACCTTTCAAAGGCTTTCGACTGTGTAGACCACGAAACCCTCCTTCAAAAGTTAGATTATTATGCCATTCGTGACATCGCCCTCAATCTCATTGCCTCTTACCTTAATAATAGAATTCAAAAAGTATCTATAAATGATGTAAATTCCACAGGGTCCCCCATGAAAATGGGTGTCCCACAAGGATCAATCTTGGGTCCATTATTATTCTTAGTGTATATAAATGATCTCCCCTTTTATGCCAGTGAGTTATGTGATATTGTACTGTTTGCTGACGACACATCACTCATTTTTAAGGTTGACCGAAACGTGTCGGATTATGACGACGTGAATAGTGCACTTTCGCGTATCCTCCACTGGTTTACCGTTAATAATATGGTGTTAAATGCTAAAAAAACTAAATGCCTTCTTTTTACCCTTCCCAGCGTAAGAAGGCAAAGTTTTAGCTTAACATTAAATAGCGTAACCCTTAATCCTGTTGAGTCCGCTGTATTCTTGGGAATTACAGTGGATTCAAAGCTCCAATGGAGTCCCCATCTATCATCTCTTGCGAACAGGTTAAGCTCCGCTGTTTTTGCAGTTAGGAAGGTTAGGCAGCTATCAGACATCGACACTGCCAGACTTGTTTATTTCAGTTATTTCCACAGCATCTTGTCTTACGGCATTTTGTTGTGGGGTAGTGCATCTGATATAAATTCTATATTTATTCTTCAAAAAAGAGCTGTCCGAGCAATCTATAACATCGGAGCCCGGAATACACTCAGAGACCTTTTTAAAGAGATTAATATACTCACTGTTGCGTCTCAATATATTTATTGTAATATTTTGTATGTTAAAAATAATATTAATAGTTATCTAAAGAATAGTGACAGACATAAACTAAATACTAGAAATAAGGACAAACTAACTACGCCATTGTTTCGTTTACAAAAAGTAAACAGGTCGTTCATGGGGCAAGGTGTGCGCATGTATAATAAAATCCCACAGTCGATATTAAGTCTGCCACTTGATGAATTTAAACGAAAAATTAAAAGTAAACTTATGGCTAAAGCCTATTATTCTATTGCTGAATATCTTGACGACGCCAGTGTGTGGGGTTAATACTGTTGATACTCACGTAGGCTAAAACAAGACTATTGTACATGTACTATTATATTGTAAACTGATTTTTTTTAAAAAAGAGCAACTGTTGAGTTTCTTGCCGGTTTCTTCTCAACAGAAACTGCTTTCCGAACCGGTGGTAACTTACGAACGTGTTCATTTCTTGTAAAATTTTGACGTTTCATAAGAACGCGCAAGCGTCTATGTGAATAAAGATATTTTATTATTATTATTATTATTTTGGTGGGATATTCATTTGTTTTCTCGTCTGGTTGGGTTTATAAATAAAAATAAAAATAAAGATATAGATATATATTGCATATATAAAATAAATATTATGGATAAAATAAACATATATATATATGTATATATATATATATATAAATAAATATTTTATATAATACATATATAAATAGGACCCAACCAGACGGAAGCCCTCGGCAGGGGAGACCAAACGGCCGAGGGTTAGGGCGAAAGGGAGAGAAACCGGCGGACGATGCGGGCGGTATCGAGGAGCACCGCCTTCTGCATTTGAGCCTGGAGCGATCCGTCCCGGAGTCCCAGTCGCCTCAGATGTTTAGAGAGGCTGACTGGGATCAACCCATTCGCAGACACGACTATCGGGATAATTTCGGTCGGCACACCACCCCACATGTCGGTCACCTCGTGAGCCAGGTCCAGATACTTCGTCTTCTTATCTGTTTCGGCTTTCACGAGGTTCTCGTCATATGGAATGGTAATGTCGACCAAAAATACCCGCGACTGTGCCCGAGAGTACTTATAATACGGCAGTTTCCGTTCCACGAGGCCGTATTTCAGAGCGAGCTCCTGGTGTAGGATTCTGGCTACTAGGTTGTGTCTATGCAGATACTCAGAGTTAGAAAGCATGGAACAACCGGAGATAACATGCCGAAGCGACTCCCCAGGAAGGCGACAAGCTCGACAGATGTCGACGGTGCCATCCCTTAGGATGTATCTCCTATAGTTGTTCGTCTTAATAACCTGATCCTGTATCGCACAGACAAAACCTTCGGTTTCCCCAAAGAGGTCACCGAAACGTAGCCAGTTCAGGGAGGCAACAGTATCTACAAAAGGCTCGTGTAGAGCCTTGTAGAACCTCCCGTGGAGCTCTTTCTCCTTCCATACAGCCTCTCGGTCGGAAACGCTCAGTACTCCCGGGTCCTGCCATTGCTCGTTGGCTAAGGATAGAGGGGTAAGTCCTTTATCACAACTAATGACGTCCGTGTAGATTGACTCATCCGATCTCGCCAGAAAGTAGTTACGGAGGCTGCACACCTCGCGATTGTGCATGGTGAGGGCGCTTAAAAAGCCCCTCCCGCCATGCTTCCGCGGAAGGTACAGCCTCATCACTGACGATCTCGGATGATGCATTATGTGGGACGTCATAGTTGTGCGGACTTTTCGGTCCAGGGCGTTGAGCTCAGTTTGAGTCCACCTGAGTATGCCAAAGGTATACATGAGGATTGGCATGACCCAGCCGTTAAAAGCACGTGCCTTGTTCCCGCCTGACAAATGGCTATTAAACACCTTTGTCAGGCGTGCAAAAAACACGTCACGAACTGACTGTTTCATGCCAGCCTCATCGATACACATATTTTTATTATTATTATAATTATTATTATTAAAAACTATGCTTATGTTCACTCACCCTTAAAAACTGCCACATTCTTATCATTTATGACTTGTGAGTAAAGTTATTGAAGTCAAGTACATTATTATCTAACTGGTACAGCCGCGTCTTCGCTGTTGCGAGACTATTGCGTGGCCCAACCATTGGTGTTGTCTTCGAACGACCTCATAGAAGACCGGCGTGAAGTGTAAGTGATATATTTGTGCGTAACTTTATTAAAAGGAGGCAAGGCATATGCAACTCTCTATAGATGTTCAAATGTCAATGGGTGGCGGTTATCACTTAACAATAGGTGAACCTCGTTTGCCACCTTCTCACATAAAAAAATAAAAAAAAGATCATTCAAGTCAATTATAAACTGTTAGTAAAGTTTTTGAAGTCAAGTGTGGCTTCTATGTATCCATTCAACAATCTATGTATCCATTCAACAAAGAACAAATCGTCGAACGTTTTTGTGGTTTCATGTGGAACGTTCGTAACGTTATGATAGGTGCAATTACCCGTTCCTGCGCCACCTCCGACCCCAGCCAATCGCGCACGAGCGCCCACCACGGTGCGTACGCGTCGCATCAGCTCTGCCACTTCGCTTGATAATCCTAAAAATTTAGAGAAAATATAAGTTAGTGCGATTTGGGGCTAATTATGCAGCTTGATCAATATATTAGTAAATATATTCTACAATTGATAAAGGAGTCAAGTCATAAACAGTGGGCTTATAGTTCGATTATTTTATTATTCTGCCGTGGTTAATGTAATTAATATAATATAATGAATTTCCTTAAAGTTATTTCTAAAAAACAATGGTGGTATTATTTTATTTTATGAATTGGATAGTAGGCTATTTCAATGAAAGAATTGAAAATTATCCAGGTTGTATTTGACTTGCATACGCTGAGCCCTACTTCAAACCTACCTGCATTAATTAATGGCAAAGTTTCATTTGTGTCTGTTGTAAGAAAAATGCGACGTAATTTAAATACAACCTGTTTTAGGGGGGGTTTTCCTTTTAAATAAATAATATTTTGAATATTATTTTCTTTAACGTCTGTTATATAATTATTCTGTTATATTTATCTACTAGGAATTAAATATTTTCATAGCGGAATAGTGGAGTTGGGTCTTTTAATTGATTCATCTGTTAATTTTATTTGCATACTCATTCGATCCCTTACAGATAATAATGAAAACAAAACCTAATTTAAAAACTCACCAGTCCCCTTCATGGCTTTATCTCCGGTTGCGAAGCAGTTGATGACAGACAGTGATTCTTGGAAACGTTTACAGTTGATTGCGGTTGACGTGTCGAGAAGTTTCGATATAGCAATTATAACCTAAAACGACGATTATAAATTTAATAAAAATTGTTAACAATGGTTCTGTGTATTATTGTTTACGTTTATGAACATCGTAATTGTTATTAATGTATGAAGAATGTTGGTAATTTTGTTAATTGTTAGTAATATGGTGATATTCCACCCCATAGATAACGCATGCCCAACGCGGAGCTCAAGCTCTATACGTTCTGGGTAGCCCACGAGAACTGCGTACGATGAAGCTTCAATAGTCTACGGGCTGGACGCGATACCATCAGTTAATTTAAAAGTGTCTACGTTTAGGCGTACGGTATTCCGATAGTGGTTGAATTGAATAGGCGTTGACCACACCTGAAGGTGGACCCTGGTGAGGTTCCCGCCTTTCCCGTGCTGGAAGTTGGCGCGCATCAGCAGGTATAGCGTGGCGGCCGCCTCTCGACGCAGCCAAGCAGCCCTCGCCTCGCACAGCTTCACCACAGACCGCACCACGCCGGCGCAGAGTGTGCTACCGCCTGATAGAGCGTTAAATGTGTAATCGCCGTGGTGAAAATAGTTGTCTATGATCAATATATGAATGGTACAAAAGTGAAACTTATATATACTCGCAAAGTTTTGTAGCTTGTTTAAAACAGAAAAATAATGGGGAGGCACTGCACTGCAACCATATCCGGGAGATAGCTAGTTTTTTCCGAATCCTTGCTGATAGGTGATTGTATAACTTTGACTTAACTGATTTTCATGTCCTGAATTGGTTTAATATGTCTTAAACAATCTTTCGCTAAACATGACGCGAATGAGGACTGAGCTGTAAATTGGACACAAATTTAATAGTGGCGTACATTGTTTTCCCTAGCTCTTACGCCCTAGTGCTTCTGCATTATAATTGCATCTCTTTCGTTGGCTTTGCAGTTTATATCTGTCTGTCTTGTTCTAACCAAATGCCGGATAATTGCGAACAATATTTTTGTTTGTGGACCAGAATGAAGTGGATGTTGAAAGCCATCGTTTTTTCCCTAGACAGTACGTGCGGGGTCATGCGTGTACATCGTTACCTGGGAAAATTTGGAAGAATATTTTTATAGCAAATGCCGACGTAATTAATACAAGTTTCATTTAAGTATTTAAGTATTTAATCGTTTACGTTTTAGTTTCACTTCATCGCTATATTCTCCGAGTAAATATATGGCTACATTTCCCGGAGGGACGGTGCACGGTGCATCCCTTGAGACAACGCCCGGATCATGGGGTTCGATGCCCGATACCCGCATCTGTAAACCTCTGGTGCAGTGTGAACGGCCACGTGTTCGGCCACAGTCTTCGCTGTTGCACGAATGGGCAGGTCCGACCACACCGGGATCACCACGATCTCACAGAGAACCATCGTGAAGTGGTACTGTTACACTTCTGCGTTTCGTCTGACGAGTGAGGTGATCGGATCCCACTCTATTAAAAGGTGGCAGCGCATCTGAATCCCTACGGGTATTGTATGTGCACGGGCGTAGTTATCACTTAAAGCCAGGCTAACGCCAGTTCGCTTGCCCGCCTCTCAGATAAAAAAAGAAGGTGCGTACCTTCGAACAGCGTCTCCGAGAACTGGTTGATGTAGGCCCTGAGTGCGGCGAAGAGGTGCCTGTACAGGGTCTCGCTCTGCGGCAGCTGCAGCAGGCGCAGGTAGGGCCTGGCGGCGCCGCCCTCCGCCACGCCCACGTGCTTCATGAACAGGCACGCGCGGTCCACCACCACCAGGCCCACCTCCGTCGCCAGCCAGCCGGCCGACAGCACCGCGTGCTCCGATATCGCCTCCAGCTCTGAGAATGTGACGTTGTCAAGCGAGCGGCCGCTAAGCGAATACCGCCGCCCATGGACATCCGCACCCGAGGGTTTGTGTGTGGGGGGCAAAACAATATTATGCGTTAAAATACTCTTCTGTAACAATTTCTTGTATATTCGCGATTGCACATTACTAAATGAAACTATGTTTAAGGATTTATCGGGTTTATTTTTAATTTTTATTACCGACGTTTTGAATCGTTTAAACCGTTCATGGTCACGGGACAGATTTGAATTAAAAACAAACGTGATAAATCCGCAAACATAGTTTCATTTAGTAATACACTTCTGGTTGCGTTTCACTTGGATTTTAAACAAACGGTATTTGTTTTGGCAATGCAACACGTGCATCGATGACGTCATCGGACGAGTCTCTAACTCCCCCTGAATCAACCTATGTAAGCCGGTGTTCACCGAACGGTAGGACATTCGTGGTCGGCGACGGTTGCCCGTTCCACTCGTAGGAGTCTTGCATTATTCAGTGTTGCACTACTTGAGTTTAAATAATGGAGCGATTTAGTTTAAATCGTGTGCTACTGTTGTTTAGATAATTTAAAATAGTGGTCGACACCGCGGCGCCGACATGTACGTGCGATGGCAACTTTTTATAAAATGGGTCCCGGTTACCTCACTCACCAGACGAAACGTAAAATTCACCTTTCACTTCAAGTCTGTGAGGACGTGGTACTTCCCCAGACGAGCCTGCAAATTCGGAGCCGGCAGAAGCTACCGCGTGACGCAATCGTAGTTTCTTTTCTCATCATTCTCTCGCACTCAAGTTGCGTGAAGCAATCTATCCAGGATACAGAAAGATAGTGTGGGGCAATGTTTAAAACAATACTTGTCGAAGCAACTCGAACGCTTGTTTTAGCACATGCGATGGTATTTACAGCCTCATATAAATAACTATCAAAAGAGAGTAATGCTTTTTTAAAGTTTCCTATTTCGACAATGGCCCAGCTAGAAACACAACTTGACAAGAAAAATGCCAGTTATAAGACACACATTTACACAAATAAAATCATTACGATACAGTACAAAAAGTTACGGATATTTTGTGATTATTAATATATGTCAGGCGCGTATTAACCTGTAGTGACAGTGGTGTTGACGAGATTCTCTCGGTTAACGGTGTTGTTCTTCTCCACGATTATGGGCGGTTCTTTGGAGAAATCGGGCGGGCTCATCCTGGCCGGTAGCGTTCTTGCCTTCACCGGCTTCGGTTTCCCGTTACAATTGGGCGTAGTGACTTTCAACTCTGATAGAATCTTTTTTCTGCCGACGTATTGAAACTGTTCCGCGCAAATTCTGCAAACATTAACGCATAATGATTAAAATTAAATATTTATTCACAAATCGTATAAATAATAAGCACTCAAGATGACGCTGTGTTTGAATTGATGACATGATATCATCACTGGTGATGATCATCATCCTGCCCATACTCTACGTATGTGGGGTCGGTACAGCATTGAATATTTGAATGAGTTAGTGGCATCGACTAGGTTTAAAATGGTTTTGATAATCCTAATCATTATATTACTTAGGGTATTATACCGATTTTAATAAATAAAATTCGGTTTTGTCTAGCCCAATCATAATTAAATCAGAAATAAAAAGATGGGTCGAACGCATAGTAAACTAAAAATAAAAACCAAAAAAAAAGGAAAATACCATAACAGATAATAAACTTACTCTAACACGTTAAAGAACGCTTGCTGCTGCGCCGGTGAATGAGTCTTCCACCATTCAATCAGTCTGTCTTCGTCCAAATATTTCAAGACGAAAAGGAAACATAAAAGCACGTCGCGGACCTCCTCCGGGGACATCACACCAAATCTGAATGGACACCACGCAACATTGATTATGACGACAGCACAGTCAGAGTCATAAAAGAATTGAATTGAATGAATGAATGAGAGATTGCATACAATGAATGAACGAATGGATTGGCCGAAATTTACCGGTTGACCTGATCGCCAATGTCGCTCAAGTCCAACTTCGTGTTCCTAGGAAGGGAATCCCCACCAGACATCGTAGACACGGACTCCAGGGAGCTTTGTGACATGTTATTCGTGCTATCTACAAACAAATGCGTTACGCCCAAGCTTGATCATCACAGACATTCAAAGAAACGTCACCAAGATACAAAACACATAATAGAAAAACCTAGATATTCGGTTAAGATTTTTTTTTAATTTAATAAGTTTTATACTATAGACATAATTCTTTACTATAGACAAATAAACACGGTAGGGTAGAAACATTTCGTACTTATAGCACCTACTTATTTAGCACCGATTAAATAATATAAAATTAAGTCCACAAACCATGTTAATAGATATTCAGATTAACATAATTATTATTCGTAAAGAGAAATAAAAACAGGGAAAATATTAACAAGACAGTGACAATGGCTTAAAGGAACAGTCGTGTGTTTAAAAAAATGTGCCTGATGACATTCAAGACCGTAACCAAAGCATTGAAAGTAATAATTTCATCACAATAATCCTTTAGCGTACCTTTTCCATACATGTTGGTAGATTGCATGTTCGGTGGGTCCTTGAAATGCGCCGAGGTCCTGACAGGCGTGTGGTCAAAATGCAAGGTCAATCGATTCCTCCGAGGGGTGCTATTGGCTGAAGCGGCTTCCTTTTGAGTGCTGTTGAGAATGGAAGTGACTGTCGCGTCGCCGTCTACTCTATCCTCGCTGTTCTCTATTACTGGACTGGCGAGCGATTTCGTCACTAAGCGATGGGAATTATCTGTCGAAGTAACCATAAATGCTTTAGATTTATATATTAAATAAAGTTAATACTACGAATAGACGAACATTTCAATCACATTTGTACATTGCATTTCAATTAGTGGGACATATGTGATTGAATGGATAACAATGTTGCACTCTTTAAAAGTATTGAACGTAGCAAGAATGCGAGTGATGGAGCTAAGTCTTAAATCATAATACACTCCTCTTTAGAAGTATTGAACGCAGCAAGATACCCGTGTCATGGAACGTGGTAACAGTAACGGTTTAATATGTCTGATACTGCTCTATCGGCCAAAGACAAATGTGATGCGTTCTCTTGAGAGGTATTGTACGTAGCAAGATCGCAAGTGTTAAGGCTTGGTCACAGAGACGGGTAACTCTCTGTAAAAGTATTGTACGTAGCAAGATCGCAAGTGTTAAGGCTTGGTCACAGAGATAAGGCTTGGATGGGACATCTGTAAAAGTATTGGTAGACTGGTCACAGAGATGGGTAAGCATCTGTAAAAGTATTGTACGTAGCAAGATCGCAAGTGTTAAGGCTTGGTGTTAAGGCTTGGTCACAGAGACGGGTAACCCTCTGTAAAAGTAATGTACTTAGCAAGATCGCAAGTGTTAAGGCTTGGTCACAGAGATGCGTAAGCATCTGTAAAAGTATTGTACGTAGTCAGGTCGCGAGTGTTGGGGCCGGGTACAGCTATGGGTGAACAGGGCACCTAGTACGATGGTGAGCCAGGGCCCGTAGAGGTGGGCGAGGCGGGCGCGCGCCTGCCGCGTGCGGTAGCGGTCGTCGTGCTCGTGCTTGGTGAGCAGCGCGCGCAGCACGCCCAGCGCGGTGCGCCTCTTCTGCGGCGCCTCTCGCAGCGACTGCTCGATCTGCCGACCGTTGTTCATACATACATCACTATCGAACGCCGAAATAGTTTTTCGCCCGACTCCAAAAAAAATGCTCGATCTGGAGAAAGTTCTTGAAGCATCACTATCGAACACGGCGAAATAGTTATTCAGCCGACTTCAAAAAAAGAGTTATGTTCGTTACCGTCAGAACTCTCCGTCATTTATGAGCCGATTTAAAAAAATATTTATGCATTGGGTTCGGTTTAGCTCCCATGTGGTCCAATATGAATTTTATTGATATGATATTGGACTCTGGAGATAGATCGGAGGACGCCTCAAAATGAAAATAGAAAATGTATATTGAAGTCGGTTATGTTTTTTGGTAAAAAAAGTTTTTAGCTAATAAAACAATTATCAATATATAACATAATCTTTCGTCAAAGTTGCAGTTCAGCAGACCAACGTACACTGATGCTGTGATAACTCGGGCTCTGAGCGCTCGCTTAAAATATATATATCTATATATAACATATATATATATATATAACATATATATATATATATAACATACTTTGAACAACCTTAGTTCAAATAGCGGTATCGGCAGCAACAAATTAATCGTACATGTACGGGCTCACTTTCTCAGTGGTGATTGAAAATAATGCGAGTAAACCTGCGTATTTTTGAAATAATAATTAAGAAAAATGTCTCGAAAACATTTGAAGTCCGCGAATCTTCATTGGTGATTCTGACAATATTAAAGTAGATAAAACTACCCAAATTGAAGTTTCATCTTACCTGTTTTAAGAGTATCCCAGCAAGGAAATGCCTCATCATAAAGTCATCAGTTAGCCGCATTTTTGCTGGATCTATACAAAAAATGTTTGAATGAATTTAATATCACCTTTAACGGCTCCAAAGTTACAAAAACAAAATTTGAACAATGTATTAAACATTTAAAACTTGAAATTAGACAGAAGAAAACACAGTGACTAACCTTCATCAGACTCTTTGAAAAGTTTATTCGCTTGTAGTGGCAAGTTGAAAGGCACAAAGTGTTCATGTGAGCATATCGTTTGTAGAAATGTAAATTTGAAATCGAACAATGCCTTAGGATCGCACGTTTTGAATTTGTCAAGGTATTTCTTTATTTGTCGAAACACAAAGCCACGGTCCATGAATGACAGACACGACTGGAACAGTAACAAGCAGAATTTTAATTTCGTTTGAAAGAATTTTAATTTTGTGTTTTACTTAGTTCTCTCAACGGTTGTTAGTTGTACGATCTCATTACCTTTAAGAACAAAGCGAGGTTTTTATTGAATATATGAGTTTGCATGGGTTGTTGCAATATGTATGATGGTTCTACTTGGGAAACCAATTTATCAATGTTCTCTAATAAATCGGCGTGAAACCTTTCGTGCCTTGACATCTGTAATTGAAAAATATATATTTAAAAATATTGATTGTTACATGTAATAAAATTTTGAAAAGATATTTTTTACCTTTATCCTTCCGGTATTGATTAAATATTGCGCCATGCTTTTGATTATTATATCAAAGAAGAAGTTTGAGTATTGCATGAACTTTTGTCCGAGCAGGAAATCTTGCTGATTAGGATCAACAAACATATGGAGCGGTGCAGTGAGCACAGTGTGTAATTTGAACTCGACGCAGTTAAACACATACTGTAAGGGGAAAACATACAATTATCTCTTTTTTTGGCTTATAACACGATATTTGCTATCAATAAACATACCTTGACGTAACTATCGAGTAAATCTTTTCTTCCATAATCATGTATCATGTGGACGTAATGCACTATTAATTTCACGATCTGATAGCCCATGTCATGGGAATAGCCTTTTTCTATCGTCTGAAATAAATACAATGAACATTTGTAAGGCCGTGATCTAACACCAAACATATTAACAAACAACAACAATCATATAATATTTTTATTATGCTATACGACAGAAACCTTCCCTGTCTCCAAAAAGTTGTGAATGAAGTCTATCATAAAACTAATTTTGTAAGAACTATAATTAGGTAACGCATGTGATATGGTGTGCACTGATTGTGCGGACGCGCGCGCGTGCGTCCATGTGCGTGCGCGTGCGTGTGAGTGCATGTGCGATAATGTCTATCTGTGTGTGTTCTCTACCATAAGTTCGAAGAGCTGGTTGAGGATGGTGGGCAGGAAGGCGACGAGGGAGCTGAGCTTGATGGCGTGCGCGGCCTTGAGCGCGTTGGCAACGTCGCTCCAGAGCGGCGGCGAGGGCGAGGCGGGCGGGTGGCCGCTGCTCGCGAGCCGCTCCGCCTGCCCGAACAGGTTGTGCAGCTGCGCGTCCCTCGTCACCACCGTCGAGTCCAGCACCAGCTGGCAGCGGAACAGCTGCTTCTCGCCCTCCACCCACGCCACTTCCGGGCCCGTGTACTGTTTCATCGACTTGCGTTAGCCATATGTACACTTTGGGGAACAATTAAGTCCTAGTTTCGAATAAGTACTTTTTTAAATACTATAGAGAAATAAAACTACTATAGAGAAGGTGGCGAGCGGGCTGGCGGTTCACCCGATGTTAAGTGGTAATCGCCGCTATGGACGTTACCAACACCCATGGGGTTGCAGACGCATCGCCACCTTTTAATAAAGTGGACTCCGGTGCTACCTCACTCAGCAGACGTGAACACAGAAGTATTACACTTCCACTTTATGTCGGACTTCGGTGAGGTCGTGGTACTTACCCGGACGGACCTGTCCATTCCACAGTTGTGGCCACAGTTTCCAATATTTCAATAGTCTACACTACTAATGAAATACTGGAAAGCTTAGCACAAGTTTATCTTTGTCTCACAAAATTTCCAACTCTAGCACAGTTATAACTACAAAATAGATGTATTATATCAATATAACATCAAGTGAAGTGGTTTGTGAGATACGCGACGGGAGCAGTCGGATCAACTAGAAAGATATCAGAATTTCGAGTGAATTAAAATATCTAAGTTATTAAGTAATCGCAATAGAAATATAACATGCTTACCCCTTTACCAAGTCCAAGTGGTTGAATCGATAGGTAACCGGAAGGTAGGTGAGTGGCGATAGGCAAATTAACTATCTCTTCAACCAGTTTATCATTTTTCATTAGCGGCACCCAAGCATACCTAGAGTATGGATTTCGTTATGACACAAAAGTACGTTACAGTGAGAAAAACGATGTTAGAGCTCTTTCGGCTGTGAGTACCGCTTTATTAACAATGAATTTACGCATCGAATTTAGTTTTATTATTCGTAAGCATTACTTAAATAAATATAAGTAATCGATAAATTGATCACGAAGGACTGTAATCAATGCGCACTTACCCAATACATGTTTCAACGTTGGTTTCATTTTTCTTAGTGAGATCGCAGGATATGTGATGGAAGGTGAATAGCAGGTGATGCTTGGAAGTGAGAGTAGCAGGGAGTCGTATTTTGGCCTCGTCGCACCAACTCGGATTCGCGTTGTGGTGTAAAACTGAGCAGCGATATTGGGATATCATGCCCGTACGCCCGTATATCACCTATAATTTAAAGCCTAAGTAAGTCATACAACAAATCATAAATTATATGATTTGACATACCCCAGGTTAGAATAAAGATTCGAGAAAATTAAGACAGCAATTTTCTTTACAATAAATTTGATTCTGATATTTAAATTTCTATTAGATATTATTTTAATACGATATAAAAAAAATATTCTGTAAGAAACCTAATTATTTTTCTAAATCATTTTATCATTAAAACTCTCTACCAGGAAATTTATTTGTTTTAATAGTGTCGACAGCCAATTAAATCTCCATTGCGACTGAGGTATTAGTATACTCATGAAAATGCAATAAATCTCTATGTGATGACCTCAATAAAATTGTATATTTCAGTTTTTCCATTGTTTGCCATATAACATAGTAATATAAAAAGGAACTTTAATATCCTAGTATGAATGCAAAGAAATTAAAAAGGCTATAATATGTATGCTGCTAAGGGAATAAAAAAAAAGTTAAGTGAATTAAAAAAAAAAAAAAAAAAAAAAAAAGTAACTTTTTTACCACCATAACAATAATTTTATTCTACAATGGTAGCATTTATCGACTCACCTGTAAAGGTTTATTGTCGCCAGTATCGTTTTCCTTCAATTCGATTGAGCAAGCAATGTTCCTCGCTCTAGCAAACATCTTTTGTGACTCGAAGACCAAATATAAAGGCCTAACGTATAAGTGATGTATGTACGCTGCGTACGGTTGCTCCGGCTCTACGTTCAGTGTTGCCAGCTCTAATGTCAGCGGGGCTGTGGGCGGCAGTGGGAACGGCTTCAACGCAGCGTACGAGCTTGTCATACAGTCTAGAGGCAGAATGGAACAATTTAAATAAGATATAAAAGGTTCACGGACAATTATTTAAAGCTTAATAGCGTATAGATTAATTAATAACTAAACTAAATGTAGTCCATTATTAAATTTACGTAGACGTATTCCGTTGAGGAAAAACATAGCTATTAAAACATTTAAATAACACATTTAAATATGACACAATATCTGTAGACTATGAGACTGAAACCGCATCAAGATCCGTTGCGTAGTTAGCGTAGTACAAGATCTAAGCATACATAGGGACAGACAGACAGCGAGACGACTTTGTTTTATGCTATGTAGTGAAGTAGACATAAAAGCACAAAAATAGATTCAAGAACGCTATAAGTCTTATTTATAAATGGAAAACGGTGCAACAGTGGAACCAACGAAGCAATCAGTGGAATTATGCGCGAATTAATATGGCCATTGTGATGGTTTTATGCTAATACTGAAAATGTAATTTCAAATATTACGTTGTTATTTTACTTTTTACTATTGAAGAGCCTATACCTATGACTTCCTCTGTGTACGTATGTTAAAAACTACACCGCTTGCCGCACTTCTACACGGCATAAATACCTTTAACTGAACACGAAGTGCTAATAAAATTGTTGTTTCTCAAAACGAAGATATGAAAATATTTTATAGAATAGGGCCTTAGAAATAATATAACTGTCTAAGAAATAAAACTGTGAAGAACTAATTGAAATCACAGTAGTTTTTCTATGATCCGCGCACAACGGCGGAACTCTATAATTTGATTTATTAAGATAGATATTTGGAGTTATTTTCTTATATTCTTGTTCGATCCATATGTTCTACTTCATTGTCTGGTATATGTGAATCTTTAGATAGAAATATGTTTAAAAAATTACGAGTTTCTCCTTATTCAATTTTTTACTACCCGAGAAAAGTTCATCGTGCGCTAATCAAGCTGTTAATTGGAACTTGAACGATGTTTAAATGAGAGCACGGCGATTTAAGAAAAGTTGGAAAAGCATTACGTTACGCTTTGTCGATATTCAACAATGCGGTATAACTTAAGAGACGATTATGAATATATACTCGTATTAATGATTTCAGTAATTTTTACTTATTTAATTCTTTCAGTCTTGCAACTTTTGTTTACAGAGTTTTGTTTAGCTATTATTATAATTTTCTTTGCTGCGAGACGGAAGTGAAAAAATAATAGGGGCCCTTATTTCGTAAGATTTGTCACGACGTTACGATTATATCTTACTTGGTATGGGTTCGTTGCTGTGCTGTATATTGATGCTTAGCCAACCAGGCACCACTGTGAGTTTCGACAGCTTTTCCGGCTTTCTGTAATCCGACAGGATCTTCATCAGATCATCGTCGGACATCTTATTTGGCTCTTGACGGTATATGGCGGGAAATTCGGGCGTAGTGTCCAAGTCATTGCTGTAAAGCCTGAAAACGTAACATGAACGTCACAAGGATCTTAATTTCAATGACGTAAAGTGTTCATCCTATAGCAGTGAACCGGACACGAATATAATATATACACGAATATGAGATCGTGATTTTTGCTTCAAAGTTCTAATATTGCTAATTTGTAGCTGCCATTGAGATTCAAATTCGTAAACTCGGACCTTGAATCACTCTACAATCACTGAATGATTACAAATTTACAACAATTATTACCTGAACAAAGGTTTTGCGGCCCAAGCGAAAGGCATCCTGTAGTTTCCCACACGATTTGCATACGCCTGTACTGTTTTATGGACTTTGAGGCCCAATCGAGGGTCTTTAGTCGCTTTGAGGTACGGTTCAAGTACTTGGCTCACGTGACCTTGTAGGATTTTGTCGATCTTCACGACTATAAATAGCTCTGGATGGGGATTATTCACTGACAGCACCACCTAGAGTAAAATAAATGTTAACAAATAAACGGGCAGGCTATTTACGTTTATCTATATATTTATTATGGATTATAAATATTTTGTTAAATTAATACACTTGCCAAAAGTGGCGAGGTAAAGTACATTTATCAAAATTAAGTTAACGTTAACCGTCAAATATTTCGGTCTGTTTCGTTCTTACAATATTGAATTCTTTTTCGAAAATATATACATATTTTTACCTGAAAGTAGTATTCTATTAAACGAAACTAAAAAACGTTGAGAACGACTAAAAAAAATTCTCTTCACATCAGTTAAAAGATGAATGCTCGGTTCCTATATTCAACGCACGACCGTTAGTTACATAGCTTTATAAATTTCATAACGACTTGTAGATTAAAGGTACGCTAGTAACTCACTTTCCGTAGGTAATGCAACGACTCGTAAGGAAAGCGCCTCGTTTTGTTAATATAGGAGCCGGGCGAACACGCCTTTTATCTACAAGTCGTTATGAAAGTTACGAAGCTGTGTACCTAACGGCCGTTCGTTGGATATAGGAACCGGCCATAAGTTAATTCGGGGTGACTCCACAAGAGAAGAGCCGCGAGTCCCGTACCTGCTTCTTGGATCTGAACCACTCCTCGGGTATCTGCCTCACGTCCAACTTGACGTCGTAGCTGAAGTTCTCCACCAGCGAGCCGGTGCACTCCGCGTCCTTGACTAGATCGGCCACCGCCGCGTGGTTCAGGTCGAAGTGGAAGTCCTCGGTGAGCTTCTTGCCGCTGCGCGCGTCGTACAGCGCCAGGTGGGTGAAGTAGGGCTCCACTTGGCACAGCAGCTCCCTGTCGCCATCTATCGGCGCCTGCAGCCGGAACTTGAGGCTCTCGCACTTGAGCAAGATCCTCTGGCCGAAGTGTTCCCTGTCAATAAAAAGAAATATTCATTTATTTATTTAAAAACTTACTGCACAATAGCGTACAATGTCGGACTAGACACCATTAAGTGTTATCTATCGGTATATAAATAGAAAAAAATAAGGAAGTGCGAAAGAGCCAAATGAGAAGTAGTGAAAAATTATAATAAAGAATAAATAATGGAACTTTTTCTTTATGATTCTGCGATTGTAGTCGCGGCAACCTTAATTAGAAATTTCCCAGTATTATTCCGCTAAACAGAGGACTAAGATGTTGGATATTAGTCTAGCTCCTTCCTTCACCTCCCCTGAAGCCTGCAAAATTGTGACCTTCACAAATGGCTGAGAAAGGCCTAGATTGAATGAGTTTTGATTTTGAATTCTGGGTGGCGATGCAACAATTGTCGGTTACTTGAAAGGTTCCAGCTGTGGCTCAGGCGACGGTGTCCGCTTGTAGGGCAGGTAGAAGATGTTGGAGCGGCATTCGTTCCTCGCCGCCGCTATGGACATGTCGGTCTCCCGGGAATAGCGCATCAGCAGTGGATTCATGCTGTGCTCCAGGCCTTTCAGAGTCCCGTAGGTCGGGGGAGGGGGGTCGGCCGTGAGCGAAACATCGGCATCTAGTCAAAACAATTTTCGTATAGAATACTGCATAAAGTTTTGTTATTAAGAACATCTTAAAAAAACCCGTCCGCCTTAGATTATATTTATAAGAACGACGTATCGCCGACATTTTAGAAATTTTATTAACAATGACCTAGAAACATTCAATTATACACGACCAGAATGCATATGTTTTTCTGAATGCAGCAAAGATAAAACTTGATCGTTTCAAAATCGATGTGAGTATTGTAATGTTGATGTAAATTTATTATGTAAATCTAAGCATAATGTATTAAATTAACGACAGATTTAACCTTCTACTTATTTTTGTTTAAAAAAGACTTAGGTATTAGTTAAACGTTAGCAGACCACTTTACGTTAAAACATAATTATGCCAATAATTACGTATACAATCATGTTGAAATATCATATTATTTAATATTTAAATTACGCATAAATAATACACGTAGACTATGTATTATTCTTCAGATAAACAAAAATATATAAAGAATTGTGTGGTCCTTGCAGAGATTAATAACATATTTATTAAATTGTAGCCTAAATTACGTATCGACTTCATCGTCATTTGGCACGTTAGAACCAATAGCATAGAAACCAATGCATACAATAAAATACGCACCTTTATCTAACACTTCTTCTGTATGCTGATTTTCCTGGCTGTTCTTTTTTAGAGCGGCCTTGAACGCGTTTATCCATTCGTTCATATCTTCCTCGTTTTCCGTTGCAAACGTGTAGCCTTTGTTGCCCGCCATTCGAAGTTCAAAACAGAACCGTCCACGTTTTGCGTTCTAAATTTAAATATACATACAATACACCGCTGCATAAATACGAAACCGTATCGCGTCGGAGACAAAAAGAAAGTTATCGATACTCACTTTAACAACATCGGAGCAGAAATCCATAACAATAGTGAGTTTTGTGTCGGTTTTCTTTTCGTCTTTGTACACCTCGAGTATGTAGGCGCCGTCGGCCTCCCTGACCATTGAACAATATCGTTTCTTAAATGATTTGGAGGCGAGGTTGCTGAATATCCTATCTGAGCCGATTTCGGGTCCCTTGAGAAGGTACCCTTCTTTGGTACCAATGTCCACTTTGGTTGCTTGAGCTTCATGATCGCTTTCGCTTTCCGCATCAATGTCGTACACTTCCTCGCTCGATTTATTGTCGATGGGTCTGTTAGAAAATTAAAATATAAGGATTTAAACGTTCATACATACATACTATTTTGCACTAACGATATCTGAAAAAAAATTTTTTCGAAGATATGTGAAGTCCGCTAATCCGCAGTGGGGCCGCGTGGTGGACTATGCCCTGATACCCTCTACATAGAGGCGGCCTTTGCCCAGCGGTGGGACCCGTATAGGCTGTTACTTTACTTTTTTCGTTACTTTAAGATGTCCGATGGAAATAATAGGTCAAATGTTTAGATTAATGTACGACGCGAGCAAACATGTTTCCCTTATGAATAAAACAAAATAAATACAATGATCGCCTTTAAGATAATCTCTTTAAATAATCCATGTATTAGATTCCATTCTATCTCAATTGGCTTTATAACTACAACTAGAGATTCACCCCGGCTTCGCACGGGTGCAATGTAGATAATAATGTGGAGTGATTAATAAGGATTATGATTAGTTTATACCACAGGATATCTTTATATATAATAATTATTTACAGCTGTTTTTTCGTGAGGTGTTTGTTACTACATCACATTACAAATCTTTAAATTTCTCGGCTTTTCTCTATTACAATATGCATGTATACTACATATAAACTTTCCTCTTGAATCACTCACATTGCTGCATTAAAATCCGTTGCGTAGTTTAAAACATCTAAGCGTACAAACAGCGGGATCCACTTTATTTTATACTATGCACAGATATTTTAGTGTTATTCATCATGTTTTTATTTAATTTCGATGTTTCCAACTCTATATAATTTTCCATCGTAAGATAGAAATATACATAGCAAGATATAGGTACATGATGCATACAACAAATTGCATTAGTTATATGCATCGTATTGTAAGACACAGCGAAGCCCCGCTTATGCTTCTTTTGCACGTAAGTCACTGTTACTTTCGCTCTATCTTAGTGGATAACACTGATTGTAAAATGTTTCCAAACAAAGCAGATAGTTAGAGGAAGTACCTATATAAAAATTTAAAATCTCGAATCCAGTCCCGTGACCATGAAAAAATGTATGTTAATTAATACGCTCGTTAGCATATTATGAGCATTAGTTGCACAACCAGTTTACGAGTATCAAACAATTCAGTTTTGATAGCAGTAAAAATTCACTGCCAAACAGGACTAACTATTTACTTTCCTCGTAGTAATTGCAATATATTTTCGCAATAACATAGGTACTGATGTGAATGATGCGTTTGTTTTGATAGTAACGTTTAAATTAAACCCAAAATATTTGAGTTTAAAACATATCTCATCATCTTTGCATATTTACTTTTTGCATTTCCTTGTAATTACTATGACTTTGTTGTATTATCATTTTTATGGTACCGACACAATTTTTTTTATGTACCGCTATGAAACATAGCGTTTCTTCGAATAATTTGCGTTAATAGTGGCGACTACAGCTAATATTAGGTCCCTATCTTAACATAAACATTTGTACGTACGAGATAAGTCCGCTTACTAATCCCGACCGGAAGTATGGACGCACACATTTACGACAATACTCGCAATTGCATAATAACGTTCTTATCCTAATGTTTGGCCTGATGCGTAACTGTTTGTGCTTTCGCCTTTTTCCGAGTTTAATGGTGGCCTATGTTTAAAATATGAACACTATATGTGTGCAGCAAATAGAAAACCTTTAAAGGATCATATTGATGTAACATTACACTTAATATATAATAAACAAACTAAATTCTTGCTTAAATAATTTTCGTAAATCGCAAAAAGTCCAGAAAAATTCTGTGTTTATCTGTAAACAAATATCATAGTAAAACATAAACTATTAACTGTGTTTCGCAATGGTTTCTATGTAAATTCTTTCTTATTTATTTAATTTTTATAAGTCTAATACATAATTAACATTCTTTCCTATGTCCAATTAATGATGAGTTATAATTGATACACCATTATATTCCTTCACAAGTTTTTAATTGTGAAATAGTTAGTAATTGATTTCAATGTTATCTGAGGTTGTGGAAGCAGCTGGATAAGAGCCTGTTATTCAGGACTATTAGTTACAAAGTAAAATGATTATGCAGCACTATTATATTGGCTATTATTATAGGACCTTTGACATGTTGTCTATTGTAAAGGGATATTAATACTTGGGACTTCAACTTAAAAAAAGTGTTGAAAGTGAAACAATTATTAGTTGCATATAACATTGACCTGATTGAGATTAAAGATTCCACCTATCATTTTGAAAATAAACAGCTCTAAAAATATACTTTATGACTTGATAACATGTCTTAACATTAAGAACAGAAATATTATAATTTCAAATAAAACAATTAAAGTATCCCCGAAAACGTATGTTCCACTATTTTTTGAAATAATAATTACTATACATACAGACCTTGGCAAATTGAGATATGTTCCAGAGTAGCTATTGTACTTGTAATGTATAAGGTTCCAGCTTGAAGCATAACTCAGCAGGGCTTGTCTAGTTAGCAGTGGACAGGTTGATGCAGTTCGGACATCTGGAACAGCTGTAGTCACGGTTCTCCACCGTCGAGGTAGAACTACACTCTACATATTGAATTTAAGATTTTAGTAAACAATTTATATTATAATTTGAAGTGAATACGTTAGCATATGAACCAAATGATATATTGAATTATGTATAGTAACTTTATATTATATCATTGAACTTTTAAAAATAATAAACAATACTTATAAAAACCAAATATTGAGCATTTCATTTGATGTTTTATTAATTCTATAGTGTTTTATATATATTTATGAAAGTATTAAAAAACAGAACTTACGGAGACATCATCAGTTGGATAGAGTAAAATATCTCTCAGTGGATCATTGAGCAATAAAGTTTTATTCTCTTGAATATATTGTTCAAAGTCTAGAACTGAGCATTTATTAGCAAGAATGTTCTGGAAAAAAAAAGATTAACCACAATTTGGAAAATTCATCAAAATTTATATCATATTTTTACATTCTATTCCTTAGAAACATTGATTTTGGAAAAATAAGAGACCTTTTGTTCACTGCTTAAAAGGTAAATTATTTTGTTGCAGTCAATTACATCCATTTTTCAAGTTGTACAAGATGATAAATAGGTAAAGTACAATTTCAATGTGACAGTGTGTCTGAAACAGACCTATTTTAATAGCATCCTTGTTTCCACAACAAATTACACACAATAACCAGTGTTATGTAAATATTACAATCTATTCAGTTTCACAATATTAATGGTTATGGACATATTATATGTCATATTTGATAACAGTATGTTATAGAGACACAAAAAAATGTGTCAATTTAAAATAATATTTTACCACTCTCATGCCACAATCTAAATTATTTAAAATATATGTATATGTTATAAAACATTTAAACAATTGTAAGATTTTAAATGGTTAAATTATAAATTCATATCAAACTATTTATATCCATTAGAAAGTAATATTTTATAGAAACCAAAACATATAGTCAGGGTCTTCGAATCTTTATATATGTAAGTTTATTTATGTTAAAATTTACGAAGAAACATTGACCAGCGAACAATAAAGAAAATATATTCTAGATAATTTTAAGAAAAGGCGAATATCAATTTCATCATTTTTATCATTGGTGGCATAATTTAAATTGACTATATAGAATTAAATACATAAATAATATTTTCACAAAAAGATCCAAAACGGATTCATATTTGAAACAATATTTACCTCATATTCAGCGCCATTCTTCTTTGCTTTAGAATTAACAGGGGGCATGTTGATTTAAAAGCGCCGCATTACACGGTTAGTAAGTAAGATATATTTTATTTTCTCTTACTTAATTACATTTTGAAAACGACTAACAAAATTCACAACACAAACGCCGAAAATTCTAATGAGAGCGAAAAGCGATATGAAAGTAGTGACAGAAGGCGGTGGCATTGACGCAAGTTGTGATTGCCAGTCCTAATATTTTTAATCGTATATAAAATCGGAGTAATATTATCTGTTTTCTTTCAATTTTATTCATTTATGAATATTTATGTGGTTGAAATAATAATTTTAAAATTATGAAAATTGTATAAAAAACTTCAACGCACAATATAGATGATGCTAGTATTATAGGCAAGATTAGATGTTTGATACAGCTTATTGAATAATTAAAAATGTGACACTACGGTTTTTTAAAGATAGCAGTAGATTGATAAGCTAGCCTGTAAGTTGATTGCAAGTTTTAATGACTTAATTAGTAAAACTTCGTTCATCTTTTGCAAGAATTACTAGATTTTTACATACCTATCTAGCTGAGTCCATACTTCTTTTATTATGAATGAGAAAGTGAAAAACAATGAAAAACTACCATGGTTTGATGTACTCAGATGTGCGACTCCCCATGACGGTGGATCTCCGGATGGCAAGCAATTCTAGCACAACGGTAGAATTCGTAGCCGCACTTCTACTGATTCGTATTCGGATGGCGGAAAAGACGATATATAATGACCAGAACATAATACCCGAATACTCAGAAAAGAAAAAAAAATGTATAATGTGTAATGTTCATAAGTGTGCGGTGGATGGAGGGGATTTCAATGTAGTTGTAGCAAATACGAGCACTCATGCAAAATACAGATTCAGAGTTTATACTCTACATTGTTAAACAGTTAGATCCATTAATACCATACCATAAAGTTTAAGTGTTAGTGGCGGGGTTCCGGGAAGGCAAAACTTGAAATGTAAACGCATCACTACATAGTATAAAACAAAGTCGTCCCGCTGTCTGTCTGTCCCTATGTACGCTTAGATCTTTAAATATACGCAACGGATCTTGATGAGGTTTTTTTTTTTTACTAAATAGAGTGATTCAAGAGGAAGGTTTATATGTATAATATATTGCACCCGTGCGAAGCCGGGGCGGGTCGCTAGTTCTAAATAATATCAAAGAAAAAATATTTAGAATATATGTGAAGTCCGCCAAGCCGCAGTGGAGCCGCGTGGTGTACCATGCCCTAGTACTTTCTGTACAGAGGAGGTACTTGCCCGTACTCTTCAACAACTTCTTCTGGTGATGAAAATCGTTTATTGCGTTCTTAATTTTTGGGAACAGAATAAAGTGACAAGGTGCCAGGTTGGGACTGTATGCAGGATAATTCATAAGTTCTACGTTTTTCACCTATAAAAATTCGTTTGTCTGTCTGGCCGTGTGGGAACTAGCATTGTTGTGGTGCAAGATGATACTTCATTTACGGTTATTTTTACGTAGTTCGTCAATAATTTCCGGCAAACAAATGGTTGGGTACCAGTTACTATTCACGGTATGACGATTCTCTAAAGCAACAGTAGCCACGTGTCCAGTTTTATTAAAAAAAGTAGCAATCATCCGCTTAGATGCACCTTTGACGTGTGTCGCTTCGGTAGGGTTCGGCTCATCTTGAAAGACTCATACGCTCGATTGCTGTTTTGCTTTGGGATCATAGCAATAAATCCATGTTTCGTCAACTGTTAATATGTTCCACACTAAATTTGACGCCCCTCCGTTGAATCTGGTAAACATGGCATTGAACCAAGTGACGCGGTCCGTTTTTTGAACCTCGGTGAAATTGTGTGGGATCCACTGCGAGTATAGTTTTGTCACACCCAAATATTTGTGTAGGATTAATTGTATTTGACTCATGCCTATGTCTATGGATTCTCGAATCTCATGGTGGGTCACAAGCCTGTCTTTTTCGATCGTACGACACACAGCATCCATGATTTTGTTATTAACAGCGGTGGACAAGCTACCATGGTGAGATTCGTCAATGAGATTCACACGACTTCGCTTCAATTCCGCAAACCAGTTATAAATAGTCATCTGGCGTCACTTAAAGCAGATTGAAGTCGAGCGAGGATCTGCTGAACTGTCAAATTACACTTAAAATCGTAGAAAATCGTACGACGAAAACTTTCCCGAGTTGAAACCATGTTAATGTAGACACGCATTTTTTAAAATGGCACCAAAATGTAAATATAATTGACAGTCAGATGAAACAATACAAAGCATTCTACAGTCAAAGAGTTTTTCATTTCAGCCATTTTCAAATGTAGTAACTACTTGTTAAATATTTTTTATGTGAGCCCTATTTACAAACTATCTCTTCCTAACTTATTTTATATTTCTTATAAAATTTGTTTTTTTCAACCGTGTCGGATTGTTTACTGTTATGTTAATATGGGTTTAATTTTTTTCCACATATTTAAGTCGCCAACTTTTAACAAAGTGGGCCCGGTTACCTCATGTATCAGATAAAATTGCTATCCTATGAAGTCGTGATATTTCCCTGGACGGACCTGGCCATACGTCTATTAGCGAAGATTATTACCTACCACAGTCAAATCTCTCACTCAGGATTATACATTTTCTATTTGATTTTGAGTTCTCCGAAATTAATATGGGATCTCTTGTAGTGAAGCCGAACCCAATGCAGTACTTGTTTTTAAAGTAGGTTCATAAAGACCGGAAAAGGTTCATAAGGACTTCTGAGTGGATTTAAATAAAACACAACCGAATTTTCGAAGTCTGTTGAAAATTCGATCTATCGCTATACGACTCGCAGTCTTGCATCATACTTGACCATTTCTATGTACAGTAAAAGTTCATTGCTCTTCCATTTAGCGGGATATTATTTAATTAGTTGTATATATACATTTAGACACTTATCTAGATCCCGTTCAAGGCGACACGATTCAATATCTCGATAACAAACATTCAAAATAAGCCAATTACGAAGTTTTTACTTCACGAAACATTTAACATTTATTCAGAATAGCTTTAGTTACGTGTAATATTGCAGAGCCAATTTTGAATTAAGCAAATGTTTTTTTCTTCTATTAATTTTTTTTCTATCCCAATGTATACATAGTATTATCAAACTTTTTACACCTTTTATATGTCTAAATATATATTTTATACGAAATCTATGCTCGCTTCAGTAACACCGAAACTAGTTACACTTTTAGGATAGCGAGTACGCAAAATATGCAAAGGGCGGCAAAATAAACAAAAAGTGTAAAATAAAAAACAACAACAACAATACGTTTTACTTGTTTGTTTGATACATATTTTCAAACTTTTAATACAATTAGGTATTTTCGAACTATACCGCTTGCTAAATTATGTTACACATATTACTGATTATAAACATTAAGTATGTTAAAAACATTGAAACACTGACATTCGACATTTCTTACTGATCTTATTCGAAATACAAAAAGGTGGGGATTATTTATAGGATTTATTTATAGATTTTTACAAAAATCACATAAGCTATAAATTAATAAATAGCAATGGCAGATCTTAGAATGCAGCAAGGATTCCGAAATTTATAAAAAATTTACAGCATCTTAAAGAGAGCGTAAAAGAAAATAGAGAGAAAGATGTGTAAATAATTAAATTTCTTGGAGGTGGCAATAGTTCAGGTGCTTTATCGAATAATACACTTTAAAAAATATATGAAGAATGTTAAGTGCACTAACATAAGCGTTTCAATTTAAAAATAAAGGTTTACTTTTTATATGCACGCCCATAGTTGATTGTAAATTTTTATATTTCGTTAATATAAATCATATCAAATGTTCTACGTATATTACTAATACTTTCGCATAAATATCAATTTGATGTAATTGTTTAAGTATTATGTTATGTTATCTTAGTAAATAGTAGGTTTTATCAAGTATTATTTTTTACAAAAAGTTAAACATCTATAAGTTCATTCCTTCGTTCTAAAAGTGGCAGTTTCAGTATTGATACAAATTGCGTTCATTGATAAAACCGTAAATGGTATCAAACACTTAAACGTCTAAACAGAGTTAAATTAGGCGTTTTATCCAACAATAGACTAACCAATTGCATTTATATAATTCGTGTTTACGATTTATTAATATTATGTAATCCTACACTCTACATATAAGATACACAATTCAATTACTATTTAACATTTTCTATTCTCAAAATTATGTATGGCACAAATATTTAATAAATAAATACATCCGTACGTAGAAATCGTACATTTGGACACTAAAAGGTAACAATTCGACATGTATTTCATAATTATTAGGTAAAAATATCACACTAAGCAATTGAGTATTAAATAACTCCATTTGATCCATCTTAACCTTCGACAGTCTTTACACCGAGCTAGTAATTCAATTCAGCATTGGCATTGATCATAGCTTTTCTGCGGCGGGAATGTTTTAGCGATATGTTGTTTTGGGAAAATCGCCTGCGCCGGGCTGCCCGTATCGCGTAGCACGTATTGCGAGGTCGGCGACACTACTGGACGTCAAGTATACTCTTCGTCATCCTCGTCCTCGCTAAAGTCGGACTCCGGATCAGGATCGGGTAGCGGCTTCAAATAGTCGACTGGGGGATTTCTTGCCGGTATGAGATAACCGAGAGAGTCTTGCGGTGGCGCAGGAGGCCGCGGCAGGCGCATTTGAGTCGTAGCCCCACCCGCCTCCGCCGCCGCCTTCAGCTTTCTACATATTTCGTCGAATCCGATCCTGTTACGCGGATCCTCTTCCCAACAGGCGCGCATGAGCTCGCAAGCGAAAATGGGACAGTCCTCCGGTGGAACCAGTACTATGCCGTTCAGAATCAATTTTGTCGCCTCGTCATTATTGTGGCCATAGAACGGCTGTTTTCCGCGACTGTATATCTCCCAAAGCACGACGCCGTAAGACCAAACATCGGACTCATGAGTGAAACGAGCATACACTATGCTTTCCGGCGACATCCATCTCACTGGCATAGGCCTCTCCCCTCCCATTTTGTAGTAATCGCACGTGTAGACGTCACGGGACATGCCGAAATCTGCAATTTTGACGGCAAGGTGGGCGCCAACCAAGCAATTGCGGGCGGCGAGGTCTCTGTGGACGAAACGACGGGCGGCAAGATATTGCATACCCAGTGCTACTTGCAAAGCTACATGCAGTAGGGCTGGCTTATCTAATGTCGGTCCCGCTCTTCCACCACCTCTTGAACCACGCAAAACACCAGCTAAATCTCCCCATTCCATATATTCAAAAACCATCCACGGGCTTGCACTTATATCATCTGTGAATAATAAAATTATAAAAATTAATTAATCGGATTAGTTATATTAAAAGACTTCCCCATGATACGAAATCAGTAGTGGTTTGGTATAGTGAAGAATATAAAGATGAATGAATAAAATACCTTACCTCTATATACAACTCCAACCAGTGTCAAAATATTGGGATGCCTGAACGCCGACATTATGGACACCTCTCTTACAAAGTCCTCTTCAGCGCACCTACCAGTGCTTTCTTTCAACACTTTAATAGCCACGACTTGCTCTCCGTTGTTCGTCCTCAGAACTCCTGTAAAAATGTAAATTAAAAATCAAGTAACCACCGTTATCAGAATATTGGATTACACCGAATAAACATTTTGTCATTTACATCATGCGCTTGGACTCGACTAAAACAAGAATAAACTGTTCATTCAAATTCTGTTTAATATTTCTCTAAGTCATTAAAGCTAAATCCAACCTTTGTGAACTTTCCCGAAGCACCCCTCTCCGACCTCCTCGAGGAAGGTCAACGCTTTACGATCCAGCAGCGGCACTTGAGGCTCGTTGTCGTCGGCCGCGTGGCGAGGTCCAGGCGTGCCCGGCACCGGCCCTGCCACCGAGCCCCCGCCGCACACTCCGTACTGGGGGTTCGTTATATACCGTTCAGCTAGCAGTGGTTCTCCCGGTCGCATACGCTACAAAGATAATGTCACCTATAGATAGCACTATTTGGGACATTTGATTTGATTGGAAACTCATCGTTGTTCTGTGGGATGACAAACGAGGCGGTTGAACTGATGATAAGTGATTTTTTTTTATGTGAAAAGTTGGCAAGCGAGCGGACGGTTCACCTGATGTTAAGTGAATACCGCCGCCCATGGACATCTGCTAAACCCGAGGGTTGCAGATGCGTCGACAACCTTTTGAAAATCGGGCTTAATGATAACCGTAACAAACGGATACCTGAACTAATAGAGAGATTTCAGGTCTTACCAGCGTTAAACGTGGCGGGTAGGATCAGCTTAATCGTCAGACGAAATGGAAAAGTAAAAGGTACGTCTCTTCGTTTTCTGTTAGGCCTTGTAAGGCTTTTTCGGTAGAACCGCCCATTAATACTATCACAGTAGTTTATTTATATTTGCACGCTGTACTACACAACAGCTCTTTACGTAAAAATAATCTTTGTGGAAATCTGTGAGCTATCTCCATATTTAATTCCATTCAAATCCGTTCAGTCGTTGCGACATAAACAGGAAATAAATACACAAGCGCACACAATCTTTTGCATTTATATCAATAAAAAAAGATATATCTACAATAATACTCTTGGAGAAACGTCGAAAACTAGCTGGATAAGTATGCTTTTATTCAAAATTGTTACCAGATATCTTGATAGTATTTCACAAATGGACAAAAATACCAACAATGTAAATAACTGGTCGCGGTTGTGTTAGCTTCGTGAGCACCTACTCAAGTTCGTATTTTATGAATATGAGTGAATAAAACCATTTTATCTAAAACGTAAATCCTATCAAAGTGACATATTTTATCGCGCATCATTACGTTAAATTAACAATAGTGTTGCATCTCTCTTACCGGTTGTACTTTCCTGTCGACGGGGCAAATGCGCCTTCTTAGGTAAAGGAACATCACCGAGGCCACTATAAATAAGAGTAGGGTTCCGCCGACCATCGTTCCAATTAGTATATGTTCACTGGTGCCAACAATGGAGCCTGGTTTAATCATAGATGCGTCACCTGCTGGCGGCTCAGAGAAACTTTCACTGCTAACCAAAGATTTTGGTACCTGTAACAATATTTTTCGACATATTTAGTAATTCAAGATTGTTTTAAACTTATCTAAGTTGAACATATTTCAGGCGATGAGTATTCAAGGTCATTTACCATCATAAGCTACCTAGGAAAAGCAATTTTGAAGTTATAAGCATATTAAATGTATTAGAAATACTACATGTTTTTGCGCGTCTTTCGATTTAGGCGGCCAACGTTATCAAAGCTGACCCATCATGAATATTTATCAGTGAATGTGGAAAATCACTGATTTGGTTTATGCCCGTTCTGACGCGCACGACATCCAAAATCAATACGCATATTGATAAAGTTAAACGAAACTTAAACAGACGTCATGCTTTGTTATATAAATAATAATATGATATTTATCATAAATGTTTTTTTTTTCATAAAATATTCATTGTGAATCTAATCACTGATTTCGAATTTACAACAAAGTATCATATTTTAATCAGTAGTCACTCAGATTCTTAGTTTCACAGTTGATAATTACTTTACAAAGGTAGTATTTAGTGTACTCTAACATAAATGCATATTAAGCTTAAATGAAAAGATAGACCCATTTAGTCTACTGAATCGTATATTTATCCTCGAATAAAAAAAAATCCCGGTATAAAAAAGGATTATTGCACATTTTAATAAAACAAATTTACCACTGTTTATTTTAAATTATTTCATGGTCATGGACCAATTTGGAATGGCCATGGAATTTTTATGTCCTCATGCTACTGTAAACCTGGGCTACTGCTATCAACTGGATAAATATTAATTTTAATCCGTTTCACGCAGCGAAAGCTGTGTTTTTAAGTCACTTGAATGGTGGTCTTCTTTTTGTTAATAACAAGATCTCAAGTCGGTATTACGAGTAGAACCCAAAGCTATCTTCTGTATTGAAATTTGGACGTTTGTTTATTTGAATAGCCTCGCGAATTGGTATTCTTTTGCACGGATTCGTGGTTTGTCGGTCCAATCTGATGTAATGGAGCTGTTTTGAATATGTTCGCAGTCTTATTTGATCTGTTATGTCTATATATAGACGTGGGGTTCGATTTTTCTTTCTTTTAGTTGTTCCATAAATCGGACAGAGGGCAATCAACCTACATTACAAATTATAATTAATTTACACTCCTGGATCTTGAAGAGGGACTTTGTTAAAAAATATTTTAACTTTAATGTTGCATTTAAAACGTAAGAGATCTTACTTGTGCAGTTGGTGGTTGAGGTAAATATCTTCCTTCCGTTGAAGCGTTTGATGTCAGAGGAGGAATGATGTTATGGATTGCTATCGGGCTCAGAGGAACTACAATGAAAAAATAATGTTCATGAAATTATTAACTTTGAATTGAGAGCCCTCGTTAATTATTATAAGTAGGGATTTCAATTCAATGTTAATACATTTACAGCGTTATAAATTTAAGCCAGTTAACGGAGATTATAAATGAATAACTTTTAGCTAAACGCAGCCGAATGATAGTGAAATAACCATAACTAATAAATGCAACTTACATTATTCAGTCGATCATTTTACGATTGAATTATTGATGTAATTTATGCTACATAAGAGGGCTCGACTAAGAATAGAAAATAATGATAGTGCGTTCTGCCGTAGTCGGAACGCGATTTTGCAAAAATTGTTCTTCTAAAAGGGAAGGGCAAACCTTATTTATTAATATATCTAGATATATTAATTAATAGCAATTCCAAAATATCTTATAATAATATTCTTCTATGTCTACTATACGATCTTCTTTACAATGCCCTTAACGTGAAAGCCGAGGCTTTCAACTAGTGAGACACTAGTTTTCATAATGATACCATAATGTTCGTAAACAAATTTCTGTTTACCAAGTAATCGAGTATAATGCATAAATGCAGTTCCTCGCTTGCATAAAAATAGGAGTTAGATATTTCCATAATTACCGATGCTCCGAGGACACTTGAAATCCTCCTTGGCCGGTTCAGCGTTCGACGTGCATACGCAATAATGGAGAGTACTGTTGTACTGGACGCATGCCGCCTCTTCACCGCACGACGACGGGTCGCAACCGCCCTGTATAAACTTAACTGGAAACAAATAAATGAAAACTGTAAATTATTTTGAATAAAAAAATAAGATTTTTTCGCTACAGCGTTTTTATTCTTTTCATATAAAACTCAAAAGAAAGTTGGTAATTTTTTAATTAAAATATGGCACTAAGAACTTTCTTTTGACTGTACATAATAAAAATTTAAATAGCGGAAAAATCGTAATGAAGAGCACATAAATTGTTGTGCCAAACAATTCCATTGGTAATTACAATGAATTCTAATCAGATTTGTATACAGTAAAAAAAATGTTTCCATATTCGTGTTTAACGAATATAGAAACCTCAACAGAAACAAATTCGAGAGTCGAATGCTTGCTTTATATTTACTAGTAAGTTTTGTTTTTAAAGTAACTATTCAGACAGACACTTTAAAAAAATGTCTTACTTGTAGAATTCTGTTGTGTTGCAGGAGCAGTTGGTCTAGCTTCTTCCCTCGCAACTCTCGCGAGTTTTGGTACATTTTTGCGTTGAGTCTGGAACGGACAAAGTAATAAGCATTTGAACGAAGGGCCAATAAAAATTGTTTCATTACATTTTACTTTGCTATAAACAACGGAATGTCAACTTTATTTATGACTTGTGGTAATTATTCCAGACGTCAGATTAAAGACGCATCAGCGTCCTCTTGTCGCACGTCGTCCATTTAAAGTAGCTTTTAAACAACTGATTCCCCGCACTAATTTCAATATATTTTCATATTAATTACCACGCGCATGTTTAAAGCCCTCTTACTGTTACGAGTTGCAGATTACCTTTAAACGTATGCTTCGATGTATAATTATTTGCACACAATAGCTAGCTAAGTGTTCGGGGCCGTGTGCTGCCACTTTCACTTCACACTAATGAATTTTTGTTTATCTTAATTATCTCAATTGTTAAACATAGAATAGTTAAGTATACCACAAAATATGTCATCAATGATACGCGATTTACTCTTATTAGTAAATAAAGTGTTGTGCATCATCGTGGTTGACATTTTTTTTATGTGAAAAGTTGCCAAACGAGCAGAGGTTCACCTGATGTTAAGTGAATACCGCCGCCCATGGACATCTGCTACACTGCTGCGAGGGTATGCAGATGCGTAGACAACCTTTTTGGAAATTGGGCTCCGGCTATCTCACTCATCAGACGAAACGCGAAAGTATACTACTGTACTATATTATACTTCCACTTTACGCCGGTCTTCTGTGAGATCGTGGTACTTACCCGGACGAGGCTGCCCATTCGTGCAACAGGCTGAGGCTGCTGCGTGGCTCTACCACCGATAACTATTTTATATAATTATTTCAAATATTGATTCCATATAGTCTCGTGTGTTCTTATGTTCTTTAATTTATTTCAACAGAATGACATGATTTTTAAATGTCATAGCATATCAATGTTCATTCCCGATAGTCTTAAAATCCATACATAACATTTTCATTACGAACCCAAAATGATGAATATATTGTCATTATTTAGAAAGAATACCAAACCATAAAAAACTTGTGGAGGAAATGAGACCGGTAAAAGCGGTAATGATATAAACTGCATTGACTTCAATAGTAGAGGTATACATTTTTCATGATACGAGCAGTCATTGTTTGGAAATGTGCAGTCCAAGTCGTGCTAATTGAAATTTATGTGATATTTGCAAACCAATAGCAATGTATAAATCAATAAATTTATAGCTACGAAATAGATAATGGCGTAAGTGATCAATCGCAAATCATAAATAATAAAAGCTTTCTGTAGTACCATTACATAGACATAGATATGTTAGATATATTTAAAAGTATAAGATTAAAATGCCTGGAAATGTATTTTTTATTACAAGTGTTAATTTTTTAGATGAATGCAAAATAACAACTTTAAACAAAAATTATTAAAAATAATAAAGAGAGAACAAATGGGAGCGATTGGGAACGATAGGAAAGAAGTTTCTAAACAGAAAAAGACTACAAACATTGTTGTCGATAATAAAGTAAAAAGAATGCATGTGGAGAGAGTTCAGTTTAATATTTAAGTCGTTCGCACAATGTCCGCTTTGTTTGCTGACATGCAAACGAGTCGCGACGGTAACAGTTTTCGGAAAAATTATTGTTTTATTTGGAAACAAAAAATCATTTTATTTAAATGCCTGCTCGATACACGGACGCATACATGCACAGCATACTTCTACGTCTCTTTGTCTGCAGGCCGCGTTAAAGAATTTTTTGCAAACTATTATTAAAAAATCTTTCTGGTTATTATACAATTACTCAAAGAGAGTGTTGAAGTAAGCAAGGACTAATGCTAAAATATTGTACCTTTATCTTATTTGTTTATATATTTTTATTTCAGGGTATAGTAATGGATCGAATATTACTTGTATGATTAAAACATAGAAGATAGAAAAGATCTTTGTCTCAAGTCCTGCTTTTCTAATTTAGTTATTTATTGAATATTTTACTTACTTGCTTTTAATTTTAGAAAGCGTAATAGACCATTAAAAAAAAAGTGGTCTCGAGTGTTCAAATGTGGAACCGTAATCCCAAATAGCTTTGTGAAAGTAATAGTGCCTATAAGTATATTAGTCGATAAAAGCAATAGTTAGTAAGTGTCGGATTTGCAATGTTAATGTTGTTAATTTGAACCCCTAGTAGCATGCATAAATGCATTTTGTGATTTTTGATAATTAATCATTTATTAATTTACAATATCGTTTCTATTTACAGGAATCCTAACAATTTTGAACATAAATTTTTATACAGATTAAAACATTTTACAGGTTAAGTTTAAATTACCAACGTTCAACAGAGATTGTAGCATTATGTGTAATTACGGATATTATATTTATGATTAATGGAAGTGTAATGGTTCGTTCACCAAAATAAATAAAAATGGCACGTTCAACTATAACATAAAACCATTAAACATTTCAGTCCCGTGACCTTGGATGCTGTAAAGTATTGAGATGTCAGGAATTTAACCGTAAATTAAACGCAGTGGAATCAATACAAAAATGTTGGATTTGTTGTTGAAGAGCTGCTTCCGTTTTGTAAACAATTGCCACTTTTGTAACAAACATTACTAAGAGGTATAGTTATTAGGCTATAAAACTAAAAGAAGTATAATAAGATCGGTAGACGTTGCGTTATCTCAGAAACGTTTGAGATGTTCCGGAAAGTTATTTTGGACATCTTATCGGAGAAGTAGCCACTGCTTCGGATACGATTCTTTCAAAATATCATGCGTACATATATGAGAACAATTTGTGATGAATATGGCATTCATTTTTTAATATCTAATAAGGAAATGTATAAACGTCTCTTTTCTTTCATCTTTAAGTAGAGAGATAAAGAAGAATCAAAAAGACAAATCTAAGAGATAAACTTATCTATGTTTCACCTATTATTGGTAAATACTATAGATTTTAGACTTGAAATTTTAATATGAAAATAATAAAGTTTTAGTCAATGAGGATATTCCTTTTTTTTATTCGTAATGTATATTAACATTTTACTAAAATGTTTGATGATGTTGATTACTTTAAAGTTACTACGTGACATTTAGCAGTTAATATCCATAGTTAGGATAGCATTAACTTTAATAGGAACATGTTTTCCAAAGTTAGCTGTCCTATTCTGCCCATGCAGAGAGAGATCGAAATTACAAAATAACACATACTATTAAAATCACTTCTTTCAGAAACGAGTCAAAATTTACAATCTATTCCCATTTTAATATTTTGATCATACATAAGTATGCTTTTATTAACATTATAACTAGTTGACGGCAAACGTTGTTTTGCCATATAAATTATTTGTAAGGTAGAAAAAAATGTTTTGGGTGGACCACCCTTAACATTTAGGGGGATAAAAAATAGATGTTGTCTAATTCTGGGCTCTAGCCCAAATGCACACAAAATTTCACGAAAATCGGTCGAGCCGTTCCGGATACTCGTTAAATACATATTAAATAGTATTTATTTAATTTTATGTTATTTAAAGTTATATTAAATAGTTAAGCATATATTCACTGTGTAATCAATTCTACGAGAGTGATAATCGTGATTACGTTCAAAGCCCAGCCGCTCACGGCGTCGTCGTTCGGAAATTGAACATGAATGGGATAGTGTTTGTTGTCCTGAAATCTCATTTCGCACTCGACCACCACTCGTCTGCATTACCGCATACACGTGTCGTGGCAGTTACTGCGCAGTGATGGAGTACATGAGATACACTAGTAGTTTTCCAGCTTTTGTACATTGGAAATTGTGTCAGTTAGAATTGCTTTCCATTTCTTGTTGATTTATTCATGGCTTTTGTTTCATGTTGAGTAATTCGTATAGTAATTTCATCAGTTAGTACTTGCGATGCAGTTTGGTAATTATTATTTTATAAAGAGTTAACGTTCAGTGTCCCCTGTCAAATACTCATTGCATATTTGAATATATTTCTACGTCGTTAGTGTTGTCGCTATGAAGTTTTTTTGAAGCCAACCCCGGTCAAATTGCTGTATCCGCTAGCTGGAATAGCACCGCCGGCTGTACGCAGAGCCGTTGCGAGCTCGCGAGAGAGGGCTAAGGGTGAAGAAGACATGCGGCACCCCTTACACGGGCACGAGCCTCCACCGCAAAGACTGAAAAGCCGAAAAAGTTTTTTAAAATACGTCGACCCCCTCACAACCGAGCCCTCTCAAGCGAGATGTAGATTGTGGCGTGCTGAAACGCTGATTCCGGACCCCTTTGTCCCGCTTTCCGAGAGTCTTCCGCCTGGGCACAGATTGCCATGGCCAATCTGGAAGTCTGTAAATAGACTTCAGACTCAGGTTGGCCGGAGCAAAGAAAATATGGTTAGGTGGGGACTCTCGGGGAGCCAAGACATAGATTGTGTGTGTGGAGCGGTGCAATCCATGGCTCATCTGGTGTCCTGTCCTGCCTGCCCTTCCACCTGTTCGCAGCAGGATTTGATGGACGCCACGAAAATCTTGAAAGGAAATCACTTAATAATCACAATTTTATAATTTGGCGCATTCCATCCTTTCCTCATAAATCTCATGCCACTATCGAAGGCATTATTCGCTTCAATGATAGTTTAGATCTATCATCATAGTACATTTATAGTGTTTGAAACAATTATCTTACATCTATTCTCACAAGGAACGACTGTAATGCTCTTTCGGAAACATTTATAACTACATTTCAATAATATTGAATATATTATTCTGGTGAGCAAAAGCCAACATATGGATTTATTGATTTAATAAAACACGTATGAAATATATTTTAGTAAACCAATGACAATATTCTTGCGATGGTCTTAGAAATTTTAGAATAGATTATTTATGAATATCACTAAAGTGAGACCAGAGTGCATTGATACATCATCATCATCATTTCATCCTGTTTGAGTTCACTGAACACTGTAATAAACACAGATTTTATTTATGAGTTTATAACAATGTTTTAGTGCCTAGTACCTTCTTCGTGCTTTCTGGTCCTAGTGAAAGT